GGATGGTTGGTTGACCTGTCCTTCCCCCCACTTGACATAACTGTAACCTTATAGTGATCGTTTCGAGCCACACCTAAATCTCATCTACAACCACACCCAGTAATTAAGGCAGGCCACGCCCCCAGTAGTTGACCTCTGACCTGGAGGGCGGACTCGGTGAGCGTCTTGCTCTGCTCAAGAAGGCGGGTCTGCATCTGTGAGCTGTTGGTCTTGGAGGCCGCGCCAATGGCGGCTCCTGCCAAAGCTGGGAAGAGATTTGACATCAGAGTTACCTGCAGTGGACAGAGACGACATGGAGTTAGAAAATCAACGAGAGGCTTAATTGGTTTTCAAAAATCGAAACAAGTCTTGGTTGTTTCAAACGACTGACTTCCCATGCGATGCTGATTACACCGAGGAGTACAAACTTTACCTCGTGTCCTAGCTTCTCGGCCTCCCCCTGAGCTGCATTACTGAGAGGCTTCACACTGTCTCCAATGTCTGCCACCGTCTGCAACATTTGCTCCTGACAAATTGAGGCAAACAGAGTAACATAATCACTACCGAATAAAGAGAGACCTCAGAATAAAGGACACTACTGAATAAAGGGAGACCTCAGAATAAAGAACACTCCCCAATCCCCTAAGGTGCCCCTCAATCAGGTCTGTCTCCCCGTAGGTAGGTAGCGACGTGTACCTGGAATCCCTGGAGAGTGGAGGCAGCAGAAGGCTGCAGCTGCTGTGACATGGCGGCCAGGACGGCCTGGTTCAGCTGGGTCATGGTGGTGTTCAGTTTGTCAATGGCCTGATCGCACTCCTTCTGACCAGGACAACCCTCCCTGGGGGGTTAAACAAGGTCCTTTAGATTACTGAAACCATACACTGGACACTTTAAACGAAGAAAATTATAGTTGAAAACAACAATTTTTGTTTTGTGGAATACAAATTTCTCTTCCCGTCCACAAAATTTCCAATATGTTCAGGCACAATTTGTGTGTCCTGAACCGGATTGACTGGTTCTGGAAACAGGTTCTGAACCTGATAGCCATGAGGAGGTTCTTCATGGCATCGGCGAGGGCCTTGGAGTGAGAGGTGAGCAGCTGCCAGGTCGGGGGGTCACGGGGGTTCATCGCCAGGTTCTTGGCCGATGTCAGCAGACTGCTGGAGGACTTGATGACGTTGTTTCCAGCCTGAGAGGGAGGGAGGGAGGAGAGGGAGGAGAGGGAGGAGAAGAGGGAGGAGAGGGAGGAGAGGGGGAAAGTGTGTGTACATGAAAATATTTTAGGAAAAGCGTAACTCTGGGAAACACTTTACTCCCATTATTCGGAGGTTCGACTGTACAGTAGTATGGGAGCCGACCTCAAGGATTGGTTGTTGGGCAGTCCTGGCCTGTGCGCTGATCTTGGCGGGAGTGGAGGCAAACTGGGGGGAGGAGGCAAACGTCGTCAGGGCCTCCACGGCCTCCTGGAGAGGTTTCGTCGTCTCCGCGCACGCCTCTCGGTTCCTGTCAGACAGATCCCCTGCCAGAGCCTGCGGAGGAAAAGGGGTTAAGTGGGGTAATTGAATTATATGTGGGGGTCAAGGGGTTACAATACCTTGATGTTCTTAACGAGGTTGGCGGTGCTATTGGCAACCTCCTTGGCGGCCTGCACAAAGTGTCTCTTGGCAACAGGGTTGCTGGTCTTGGACGACGCCACCTTGCAGGCATTGCATAGAACACTGGTGTGTTTCGCAATCACCGTTGCCGCTGCCAACACCTGGGGAGGGAAGAATAGGCAGTGAAGTCGAAATACCTCATTTTGAGGAACGGAATCAAGAAAATGTTGTAAATTTCAGCGGACAAGAAGCCAAACTTATGGGAAAGACAATGCATGCAGTTCTATTACGGTGTAACTTTTTGAAACGAAACTGCAGTACAAGAAGGTCCAAATAGAGCCCACCATCACACATTGCCAGAGGAAAATGCATTATGGTGTAACTGTACTGCAAAGAGTTCTAAATAGAGCCCACCGTCACCTGTTGCTGATTGGAGGCAGGGTTTGAGGAGGTTTTGGCAGGCAGTGGAGACGGCTTGGTTGGCCCTCGCAAACTGGGCCTGGTCAACGAGTCCCGGCGTCGCCGCGGTGCTGCTTGGGTCTGCAATACCAACCAGGTATGCTGCTTGGGCCGCAGCCTCTGTTAGCTGACAGACTGCCTGTGACGCGCTCTCCACCGAGCGACTGAATTCATCGTACGACGAGTTCTTAGCAGAGGTTGTGATGGTTGCCGCGTCTTGTCCGAGAGTTCGTGATTTCTCCATGACAACGTCGAGACAGTCAAAATAGGAGAGATCGCTGACAGGTTCGTTAGGGTTGGCAAGTACAGGGGCCACAGCCTGGGAAGAGGGTGGGGAGAGAGGGGGGGAGGGAGGGAGGAGTAATGTCAGTGTTACCACTACATTACCTCAACTGAGGGAGTGATTAATGAAGCTGGCAAGTGGCCAGCAGCATGCATACACTATCATTGGATCTCACCATTTCATATTACACATGTGTATTAAAACGTTGCCTGTAGTTTGTTAATTTCAGAACAGTGGCTTCATTTGATGCGTACAAACAGTTCTTCTTGCACTGCTACATACATAGTGCATGTATTGGTTGGTGTGTCCTTCCCCACACTTGCCCACTAAAAAACGCAGTTCCCTGGGTTCCCAACAGTCTGTACCTCGATATTCCTGAGAGCATTGTCACACTCCTTCTGTCCTGGTCCTGAGGTGGAGCACAGGTCCAAGAGACTGTTGATGGCGTCAGTGACGGCACGGCAGGCAGCTGCAAGCTGGTTCATGACGTTGGGGGCATTAGGGTCGGCGGAGAGGGCCTTGGCTGCCAGGAGAAGCTTGGTGGAGGAGACAGAGATGGTCCGCAGGTACCCCCAGCATCGCGTTCCTGCTCTCCGGGTCCTGGGAATGATGGAGGAACAGAATGAGTTACTGACAGCATTAATGATCACCTAATGATCACGAAGAAGGAAAAAAGACATTGAGATAAGGCGAGATGGGGAAAGTGTAGGACGCCAACCTTTGAGGCTCCAGCGAGGGTGAGACCGGCAGTCAGCATCTCACTGAACGTCTTTGAGAACTTGGACGAGGCCTCAGCCTGGTGCTCAGGGGTGCTCTTGGCAGCTGTCATCACCTCACTACCTGCCACGTTGAGGGCAGCTGCACATGAACTGAGATTGCTCTGGAGGGTCTGGTAGCTGGCTTCTCCAGCACTCGGGAACTGGAGGGGAATGAATGAAAAACACACAGTAGTGGAGAATAGAACGGTAAAAGCTGAAGAAAACGGAGACAAATAGCAGGCAACAATTTAGCAAAGCTGGGAATACCACACACTTACACACTGTAACATTCACAGTGTACATGTGCACCTTGATGACGAGGGTTAAAAAATATTGACTGTGATGTATTCATGTATAATTGTATACCTGTTGCCTCTGTAGAGCAAGGCTGGCTTGAGCAATGGCCTTGATTGCCTGGTCAAACTCTATCTGTCCTGGCAAACAGTTCACCACCTAGAGAAATACAATGACGTCATCACGACATCGCTAGAAATAGCGACAGTATACATACCTGGTTGAGGGCCTGGGAGACTGCCTTGGCGGCCTGTGCCAGTCTCATCTGTTTATTGGGAGCTGTTGGGTCTTCGACGGCCATCTTGGCTTCTTGGATCAGCGCCACGCTCTGGTCCATCACCTGATGACAGTGGCAGGGGAAGATAGGGAGAATTTTGGGGAAGATAGGGAGAATTTTGAACAAGATTGCCACATTATGCAATGTATTATGTATTGTCTGGTTTATGACCCAATAATGTATTGGTACAAGGCGGGATGCAGAGAGAAAGACAGTGTGTGTCTGTGTGTAAGCTAACAGTTTGGGCGGTGGTCAGGATATATTCCTGGGTCCGAGGGTTCTTGGTGCCAGCTGCCACGCCCCTCACTGCTCCTGCCAGCACCCTCAGGGCATTCGCCGTGTCCCGCGCCGCTATTCCTGTGTAGTTGTCATTACCTGGGCAACGACAGTGTACAAACAATCATGACAACATCTAGTTGAACTCTAATCCGGACACCATGATTGCCCCACCCACAACGAGGCCCCACCCACCCTGATTGGCAGCGGTGAGCAGCTGAGCCATGGAGGAGCCGACAGTCTTGGAGGTGGCCCCGAGCTCCAGGGCACAGCTCTCTACGCTCTCTCCGGGAAGAGGGACCAGCTTCCCCTGATGGGCTTCTCTCTTGGCCTCGGCCAGCTCCATCGACAGTCCCTTCACTGTGTCGATGGCACTGTCGATCTCGAGACTGCCACACACATCAGCCGCCTGCGGGGGGAGGGAGGGTAGTGATTGGTGAGACCTGAGAAACTGGTATTGTGGCAGTGTCTGATGTAGCCACATGTATTGTAGGTAGTATCAACGTATCACATTGTAAATACATAGGCCTAAGGGAACTAGTAAAGATACAGTATAAGTCAAAAAAACGTTTCCAAAATCGTTCACCGTTCACCGTTCGAACGGAGAAATGGAAAACGGAAACGGAGAAACGCCGTTCCATCGGAAACGGATGAACGGTGAACGGTGAACGATTTTGGAAACGTTTTTTTGATTTCTACTGTACATGGTGAGAAACAAGAGCCGACCTTGGTAGAGGCAGCTCTGAGCTCAGCCAGAGCACTGGCTGTGGCCTTCGCAAAGTTACCCAGCTGGAGAGCAGCTGCCTGGTCTCCTACTGTCGGGACGGCAGCCTTTGCCGCGGCAACCATCTTCCCTGCAGGCTATACGTAGTAACAGACAGGTTGGAAGGAAGGGGTTAAAACAGAGTTCAGTGGACAGTAAGATAGAGAAATAATGGAAGTGGAGCGCAAGCCCAACCTAACACACAGTTTTTGTGTAAGATGTAAGTCTGCAAAAATTTCTGCAGTGGTAATGGCAATAATGATATTCATGAGAAATTAAACCACAACTGTTGCGGACACTCACAGGTATCATGGCCTGGGAGGAGTTGATCAGGCCAAGCTGAGCACTGGGTGAGTCAGGGTTGCTCATGCTGGTCCGCACCCTCTGCACCAGGGACGATATCTGTTCCGCCACGGCCTTGCAGTGGTTGATGAGCTGTGCTTGAGAGGCCTCGTTTCTGTTTGAGGCAGCTGCTCCCTGCGCCGCGGCGATACACTGCGTCGACACTGCAGCTGCCTGCTTCGCTGCAACCTCGAGCTCTTGATAGCCTTTTTCTTGATAGCGTTTGAGGCAGCTGCGTTAGTGACGGCTCTGAGCTGCTCGCGGCCCTCCGCAAGTTTCTCCTGGGGCCTGTCGTCGTGTGGGTTGCGAGCGGCAACTTTTGCTGCCTCCACCATGAACGCCGTGGCGTCAGCGAGGGCCCTGGCAGCGTCGAGCAGCTTCTTCCTGGCGTCAGGGTCTTGTCTCAGCCTCAGCCTCTCTCTTGATGGCATTAATTAGAGATGCCGTGGCTTCAGCTAGTAGCTTTGCCTGTCGCACCATCTCCTGGGCATTTCCCATTGAACTGGAGGAAAGGAGAGGGAGGAGAGGGAAAAACATAATTATGGAATGGTGTAAATTATATCATAGAATGACTGATGTGTCTAAAAACTGGTACAAAAAGCACGGATGTCGCAAGGTTTACAAGGGATGCAAAAGACGTGGTTAATTTTCTACCGATAAAGATTTCCTTACTCACCCATTATTTACCTACAGAGGAAAAGGCGGTACAATACTACAGCACTGTACCTGAAGAGCCTTTCAGTGGCGGCCAAGATGGCCTCTACTGCGTCGTCGTACTTATCACCCTCGGCATCCTTATGTCTTCCTGATTCCGTGGATGAGATTGTTGAGGGCCTCCGTCACGGCAGTCGCCGCGGCTCCGAGGTCACGCAGGGCGTCGTCATCCCCCACATGCAGCCTGGCAGATGAGGGGAGAGAGGGTTAAATCCCAGGTCCAACACAAATAGAGTAATAGACACTTTTCCATTACTACATCATCATAATAATGACGGCTGACTGGCAAAGTGGGCATCAAATAGAACACCACACATAATGGCCAGTCAAAAGTGAGCAGTCTTTTTTACTTCTTGTGCGCAAAAAAGTGGAAAGTGGGTGCCAGGCACTTTTTTGCTTGACATGACGCCATAGTGGAAAAGCGTATCTTGCAAATTACATTTCAGTCATCTATTGCTAAATGAGCTAGTCCCAAGCTGACCTGAGCTGCAATGACAATCTTCTCCACGGCGGCTGCGACGAGTTTACAGGCGTCGATGAGCTGCTCCTGACAGAGCGGGGAGTCGATGCAGGGAGCCAGGACCTTGGTGCAGGCAATGAGAGCCTGGGTGGGCCAGTGCTGTCTGCTTCGCTGCCATTATCACCTGGTTCTGGAGGCCCTGGTCCTCGCAGTGAGCCGCCACGTTCCTGGGGGAGGGGAGGACATAAGTACAGTATAGGACTTGTAATCTTATGCTGCACAGAGATTAACACTTCCTATCTTAGTACTCTAGGTGAGTGGTGCTACATATACTCCCTATAGAGCTATTGCTGCAATGTGTCGTGTCCATGCTCAGAAAATACATTTCGATACCAAGACAATGGAGGAGTTTACTTACCTGGCGTTGGTAACCAGGGCAGCGGTTGCGCTGGCGACACCCTTCGCATGGCAACGAGGGCCTCCTGTATCTTGGGGTCGACCTCGGAGTCTCCGCCAGAGAGAGGAGGTAACCTCCGTGAGCTCCATCTCGCCTGCTGCAGCCAGGAGCTGGGTCCGGTTCTGAGGGAGAGAGAGAGAGAGAGAGAGAGAGATATGAGATTAGACGAGATATTTCTAAACAAGGTTTAGAGTAGGGATGACAGACTAACAGTTTCATTCACACAGAACTTCCTAATTCTCAAATTTAGACAACGAGTGTGCGAATACTTTTATATAAAATTTAAATAGACGTTGTTTTTGTGAGATTGGGTTGCGTTGGGAAGCTGCATCACACAGCCACTTAGTAATCTTGGTTCAAGTTGCTACACTAGTATGGTTGAACACGTGATTGAGTAGTGTTCTCTCACCTCAAGGTGTTCAGGACTTGAGGCGTTGAGGAGACCGGCAGTGGCATTGGCTAGGGCTCGAGCAGCTCGCAGGAGGTCGTCTGGTGTCATTCCCTCCACGTCGAGAGCCGCCAACAACCTCACGGCCTTGGCCAGCTCGTTCAGGTTGGTGGATCTGTGAGAGAGAGAGAGAGAGGAGGATGGAGGATGGAGAAAAATAGCATTCAAGACAGAAGTAATATATACAGTACCACAGAGAAACCATACATACACATTTAGTAATAATTTTCAAACTGCGTAATACCGCCGCCGATCTTTACCAACAAAAAATTTGCTTCTTCTTCCTAGTTTACTAAACACAAAAGTCACAAATCTTGGGCGCTAATTTTCAATCAGGGAAAGTTGGTGACGATAACAGAGAAACCGAGGAGAGACAGGGAAGAGAGAGAGAGAGGGAGGAGCTCACATGGTGGTGATGGCTGAACCGAGTGCGGTGTAGTTGGTATCTGTGGGTTCTCCTCCAGTCAGAGTAATGATCTGAGCCGTGGCAGCCAACATGGCCGCCAGCGCCGAGGAAACGTTCTGCTTGGAGACATCCAGTGTTGTCTGCTTCCACTTGACTGAGGCCTGGAGGAGGGAGGGAGGGAGGGGGGCATTTTGTAACACACACACACACCTCCTTAGCTAGGTTCACAATATGCATTGTCCTCCCCGATACTGCTATGAAAACACGTATAGAGCATGATGGGGTAAGGCTGTGAACCTGGTCTGTTAGAGTGTTTGTGTAAACTGCTGCAAAGTCTGTTTGCAAACTGAATTAGCTAAAACTACACTCGACAAAGTAGGGCAGATACTAATGGGTTGTAAGAGTCTTTAAACCACTGAGAATGGTGTACAAAAAGGGTTCGTAAATAAACAGATGGATGGTTTAAGAATCTCATGTTTATGTGTGTGGCTTACACTGTCACTGCCGAGAGGAGGCAGGGAAGCCGCACTGTAGAGATTGTCCTCCGTCTCCTTGGCAACGGCCATACCCTCCTCGATGTTGCCACGGAGAGCGGACTGTGCCATCAACAGCTGGGGATTCATCGCCTCCGACGGTGCCTGGTGCCTTATCCCTACACAAACACAGCCACAATGACATCATCCATAAACACCATGACATCATAGTTGAAGGCACAGTATCACATTATAATGTTACCAAACACTAAAGTGCATGTTCAACATCCCCAAGTTGCCTCTTATTCAGAGGTTTCGTCCTAGTGTGACGTACCAGGAGCTCCAGACATGTCTGGTTGCTGGGCGGAGTCCATGTGGTGAAGCTGTGCTCCGTCGTCATAGCCAGCGTGGTGGGGGGACGCCATGGACGACAGCCCCTCCTCCTCCGCGTACCCGTGACCTCCACGAGTGAACGTCGTCACTGACGCTCTGCACAATACACACATCACAACATTAGCATCGATTACATGATGGATTTCCATTATAATCCAGACACTAATTGACATGCATGAAAATCAGGGAGTTTTCTAGGACAATTAAATGTAAACTGAACAGCAATTTATATTAATTGAGTAGGCGTACATTAATTTTGAAACATTTTATCGAAAATTCATCGAAAATTCAACCTTATTTTGGGGGTGGGGGACTGAATCATTGTCATGTCCACATTCCCTCTAGAGGGAATGTCTCTCCAGAAAACCTCTCTTCCTTAGTTCTCTCCCTCCCTAATCCAAACCTCTCTTCCTTAGTTCTCTCTCTCCCTAATCCAAACCTCTCTTCCTTAGTTCTCTCTCTCCCTAATCCAAACCTCTCTTCCTTAGTTCTCTCTCTCCCTAATCCCTCACTTCTTAGGGTCGACCTCGAAGTCTACGATGACAGGCTCCTCGTCCTCGTCCTCTATCTCCTTGTGAAGTGGCTTCTTCTTCTGCATGATGATGTCGATGTAGCCAGCGATCAGTTGGGAGATGGTCTCCCCCTCAGTGGTCTGGACTGAGTAGAACGACTCCGAGTAGTCCCCGAAATCCTGCGAGAGTGACACCACTTGATGCAATCTGACACCACTTGATATCACTGATGCTAAGCATTAATGAGTATCTAAACCAAATTTGGGGATCTGATGCAATCTGACACCACTTGATATAAACCAGGTAATAAGTGCTAACCAGAGTGAAAGAGTTTGGAGAAGCGGCCCAGCGGCGAACGGTAGTCAGCGGCCACGTCTTCAGCACCTCCTTCGTATTCTCGTCAACTCTCATTATACTCTCCCTCGTTATCCCCAGCAGACGAGGTACCAGCTTGTTCCTCCCCCTCATCTTCTCCTGCATTTCCATGGGAACGAGTAAACATCACCGTGGAAACCACATGCTCCACCCACCTTAACAAGGAAGAAGGTAACTCCGTAGGTCCTCAGAGAGCGGCACAGTTGAATGTAGCGGAATTTTGCGTTCAACTCGCTCATGTTGTGCAGTTTGCGGTGTTCCCCGTAGATGAATTTCTCGATGCCCTTGACCTTGACGTACTCCCGCGGCAGGAACTCTGTCAGGTTCAGGAAACCCTGCTTGTGTTTGGCCTCGCTGTGGTTGCCATAGGCAACCTGACATTGGAGGGCGGCAAACTGGAGAGCTTCTTCTCGGGTGCAGGGATGAGCTCCCTCCACAATGGCATCGCGGGACTAGAGGGGGAGGGAGAGAGCTTTAGTAATAGTGGAGACCTTGGTAACAGACAGAAAAGAAACACTCAGAAACCGAGTGCTGTAACCCTCACTGCACATACATGTTGCCAACGGTTCAACTTGTCAGTTAAAACAAGGCTACAGACCCTGCCTTACCTGGACGTAGAGAAGGTTCAGTTGGATTGGATCGTTTCTATCGACATTCTGGTCGGAGAAGAAGAACTTCTTCCTCAGAGTGAGGATGGCAGTCTCCGTGATGCCCTGCTCTCTCAAACTCTTGTCCGGATTCAGCCAGTTCACTGGGGGAGGAGAGGGAGGAGGGGGAGGAGAGGGGGTTTTGAAGATAGGAAAAGGTGGCCAATCCCTGAATTGTGTAAGTGCGACATCACCACTGCCAACAATAAAATGTACACACTTTCTGAACCCCTTCCATGTAAAAAGCTTCCTACAAAAAATCAAACTCATAATCTTATATCTTATTAGGACAAAGGTAAGGGGGGAGAGCCTACAATCATTGTTGTCTGTGGGAGAGAGAGAGACACTGTTTGTGTTGTGGGCTCATTCCATATAAGGACAGGGCAGCCAGCCAGCTAGTGCATGACCCACAGGAATGTATGGAATGTACAAATACTCGCCCACAACAGAAATGAGGACCTTCTTCCCCAGGTGACTCACACTCATCATCAGTGTGCAGTTTCTTCTTGAGGGTCTCTAGTTTCTTCTGGTCTCTCACATACTGCTGGTGTCTCCTCACTGTCTGGTCACTCGTCTCTTCCTCAGTCGTGAACGAGAACTCCTCCGGGTTGGTCAGCCCTGTACGAAATAACGACAATCATTTAAATTTGACACATTCAAGGAGAAAGGAATGAAAAACTATAAGTCAAAAGAAAGAGAGGAGAAATGGGAGCCTTGGTTTTGCAGCTCACGTGTCACGGTCAACCCACATTGTTTGCTAATTTGTCATGTTGCACATTGAAAGGATGAAGATGAGAGAGAGAGAGTGGCTCACCAATCCTGGCACAGATGGCCTTGGTTAGGTCGACCACATTCTGACTGTCATCGACCAGAATAGTCTTCACTGCTCCGTCCAGAAATCTCACTCTCAGCGGACGCTGCTTCTTCCTGTACTCCAGGATATCCTGAGTGGGCGTGGTTTGATAATTAGACCCCGCCAATCACCCCCATTACTCCGTCTTACCCCAGATTTGAGGTGGTAGTACTCCAAAGTTCTACCTGCCTCGAGCCATCGTCCCTTAGTTGGGTCTTCATCTGGTTTGAAGAGACCATACTCTTGGGCTTTGGGGGAGAAGGGAGAGGGGGGGTGAGAGAGAAGGATTATAAACAGAAGCTCACATTACACACAACACAAGAATGTGTCACAAATACTGCCAAATTTCCAGCCCACTGGCGACGGAGGAAGAAGAGAGGAACCCATGAATTATCTACTGCTGCAGTCAAGTCCATGAATTTCAGACATTGACACCGCCCACCCATGACAGACACTGAGTAGGTAGCTACACCCAGTTACAGACTTCCAACATGCTTCACTCTCTCCCTCCAAACTTCAGAATCCACTTCAAACTCTTTCCTATTGTTCAAACTCCTTCCAGGAGGTTGTGTGATAACCTGTAAGATGAAGTTTGTTGGTTTTAGGTTTGTGCGGATTGAAAATGGTGTTATTGGGGCAGGAAAGTTGGCAAAAGCTTTCCCAACAAAACAACAACAAAGGATCGGTGCAATGAACACAATATGTCCAACTGTCACTCGATGGCAACAGCCCTCCAGTAATCATGGAAGGAAGAGGCCAGCCAAAATGAGATGAACATGTACAAATCCAGCTCCTGTGTGTGGCTATGGGGGCAACAGCTATACTCATGCTCTCAGGGATATCTAACCATCATAACCTGTCTAATAAAGGTGGCATTTTTTAATTTTTTATGGAAGCTCAAGTTCCTACAACCAATTCTTGTGCATAGCAACATTACCACTGCACAATCTTACACACCATGCAGATTTATTTTTAAATCCAAAGTGGTATAAAAGTCATGTTGTAAGGATTTGCTCATACGCTCATGTGGCAGTTACACATTGCAGTTTGCCCATAGTTAACGATTGCTGGCACAGCTCTATCTATTGTCCTCTGGTATCCACAATGACCCTCACACGCTGGCAGGAGCAAGCCAATCACAAATCTCTACTACTTAGGTTGGATTAGCTCTAGAAAGGGCCATGTTACTGACTAATGCAGTGCGAGGTCCTAATTACGCTGCCACGCCAACACACGCTAACAGCCAGAGCCTTACTAGGCCACATCACGGAGGACACACATTGGCACAAGTCAAGAGCTACATGTTGGGAACGGTTGGTTGGGCTGCATCTAAAATGGAGTCCTGCAAGTAAAAGGTAGCCGGGAGGCTTATCAGCAGTTTAGGGGACTTGTATTCAGTACATGTTGTACAGATACCACATGTCCCTGGCAGAAACACGACCACATGTGGTATGAGGGTCAGAGAGATTCTGGTAATGGTGACGTGGTGGTACTTACGCTGTCCTTGAGCTGCGTCCGGCACTCTTTCTCTGATGAGTTTGCAGGCATCATAGACAATCATCGACTCATCAAACTAGGATAGAGAGGGGATAAGTCACTAGGAGAAGGGTGAAAGAGAAAAAAGTAATGGACACCAGTCCCTGCATGCGACTCTCATAGGACAGGCTCATTGACAGGCTAAGAATAGGGCTAATGTTCTGCATATCATGTATATAGCTACCTGCATAGTCTTGATGTTGTTGCTGCGAACAATGTGGATCTTGATGGACACTGTGGACGCCATCTTCTCCACTCACACACCTCCTCCCTGCGTGTACACACCACCATGCACACTATCCTCAGTTCCTCCGCCTACTACACTATGCAGCGAGGCTCACACGGACACAAGTCGCGGTCACTAGTACAAATGAATAACTCCCTATCCCTCGTTCGGATGCACAGAACCAGGGTAAACGCACGGCAAAGATGGGCGTTGGATCTCGCAGGAAATAACAAAACCCGCCCAACCCAACATGAGCGATGGGGCAACACGGACTAATGCCATTTATGGAAAGGCAGCGGCTCGCACGCGTCACTGCGGGGGCTGCGGAGGTCTTACCAATGACTGTAGCTATCTCCTTTTTCTTGGAATCTTTTCCTTTCTTCCTTGATCCCCGCGACACGACCCGATCAAAAGGGGACGAAAGTCGCTACTCAGCGAGAGAGAAGGCAATTGATATGATACGGTCGCGTTACGTCACAAATTATTGTATACACCCATACTGCGCATGCGCGGATCATTTTCGTGCCTGCGCGCGCGCAAACACTGATGCAGGGAGCTAGTGATTCAGATGCTCCTTCTCCAGAGCTGGCAGACACCATGTGTGATACTGCAGAATTCATTAGTCGGTACCAGTGGGTGTGGGACGTACAGATGACGAGATTATTTCAAATGAAGCACTGGAACAGGATTCCTTCAGAGGTATACTAAACTTTATGCCTATTGTATCACGTGATATCACGTGACCTGGCAGTGGTGGGGTCCACTACTCCAACTGAACACAGAACAACTCAACCAACTGCCATTTGGGTTCACCGAGGTAACATACAAACCCCATTATGTCATAATTAATACCAACGATGTCATCATCTCAAGCCGAGCTGGCCTCAGTCTCTCCGGACCTTCGTCGCTGGTAGTCAGAGGGTGTGTCTCGAAAGATCAGTGCCGGATTGGGTGTCGGCCATGGCGGTTCCCAGTGGGCGGAGTCTGTGCCAGGAATATGACTCCAAAGAAGACACAATGAGGTGAATAATAACGATGCTTTAATGAGGGAGAGAGAGAGAGGTGAGAGGTATATAGTGGAAAATGTATTACAAGTTCCTTGAAACAATTACATGTTCCTAGATGCAAGAGCTACGTTTTCGAGACCTGCTAAAAACTTGTGTCTCAGTAGTTGGTATCCTACTAACACTTATAATAAAGGAAACCTACTTTTCCAATTATAATGTCCTCTATTGACTGACTACAGGTGAGAGTACGACTGGCAGGTGTGGTTGCTGAAGTCTGCAGGAGCACCGGCTGCTCCATTGTTTTGGACGTTGGCTCTGGACTGGTACGAGACATTAGACGAGATTGTGGGTTGGGCCCTCTTTCATCCCCATTCACTATCCCACTGCACTCTACAATCTATACCCTGCAGTGTTGTTGGCCTGTCCTTCCCCCACTTGCTAACTACTAAAAATACGAACAAAGCACCAACACATATACAGTGACTTTTTAGCTTACTTTTAGGGAGTGGTTGGGCTGTTGTCGCTCTGCACAGCCTCCATGCAGAGATTATTTGTCACTAATGGTAACATTTTGTGTCAGGGATATTTGGGAATTTGCGGAAATGGTGACTGAAAGTGGTCGACTGAGAGAGAGGAGAGAAGTAGCAGCTCCAGGCGGAGAGCTCCTCCCTCGTCTCCACGTCCCACTCGACATCTCCGACTCCCACCACGCCATACACGATTGTCCTCCTCTTCTGGATGACTTCATACGTATGTGACCATTATACCTTAACCTTCCGTCACAAAACCTGTGTAACGGTCCTGTCGTTGAATTATTTGTCAACAATGTTTTCTTTAATACATTGACTGTGTATTATGCAATCAAAGTGCAAATTTTTTGTTTTTGGGCTTATGCTTGAAAGTCCAGTGACTTTTCTCTCTATGATCTCTGCAACAGGGGAGGAAGGAGGAGGGAGGGTGGGTTTGGTGGGACTCCCACTGTTGTGGCGACCTCACTACCAAACATCCTCAGAATGGTAGCGGGAACAGGTGCACCTGACCTCTGCCCGCTGTTGTTGTTAGCTGTTGTACCACAAAATGTCCCCCAGAGGCAAGCTATAAGGTGCTAAAGGTTATACACATTATCCGTTGCCTGAACTTGAAGATGGTGGCGTGGGGTTCAAACTGTTTTTCCAATAAGTGCCCACACTGAGGGACGCTGCCCTGTCTCTGTGAGAAGATGAGTGTGTTTGGTTTGCGGCTTGCCAGTCAGGAGACGAGGGCCAGGTATTTCCTTCCTTTCTCTCTCGCCCAAACTTCCCTCTATCTCACTGAACCTTTGACCCTGTTTTGCTACACTATTCAAACATTGTTGTACGATGACAGATGGAAAGGGCAGACAGCTGAAGACCACACCCACCATCAGAGGAACGTGTCTTACCGTGGCATTCTACAGGCAGTTTGTCCAGGTCTTGTCTTGTCTCCCTTAACCTCTTTCTCTTTATTGAACCTCAACCTACAGAGCTGGTAGGTAGGCTGCGGATCAAGAAGTCCGTAGCATCATTTCAGGAATTTGTCAAAGATGCAGCTACTCAGCTGAACAGTATGTTCCTGGTGTCGTCACTGATGATGTCATTGTGTATGATGTCATTGCAATTATTGTCCAGATGTGGAACTGGAACGGGACCTGATGGACTATTACTCCAGACACCATATCTTTGCCAGCCTCACAGAGCCATTCACTGTTAGTATCAACTCATTATTAACCTTTAACAAAGTTGCGAATTTCATTAACATCATCAGCGATAAGCAAACTTGCGTGAAGCCTAGTGAAGTGCCAGCAATCTCAGCTGACCATTGAACTATTATTCCCTTTGTGTTCCACTTTTCCTTCTCTACTCTCTTTCGCCTCACTCTCAGGCTCTACAGGTATGTATGCAGGTGCCATGGAAACCCTGTTGCTAGCCGACAGACTAACGTCCTCAGGAACACGGTCTCTCCCCCATCCTCCTGCCCTGTTTGACGACTCGTTCCCCCAGAAACATCGCCATAGTAACCACACTCCCAGGGAAAACAAGTTGTGAGCATTTGTAGAACATGACACAGTATCAGGTATAACTTGGTGGTATAGAGTGGAACCCTCTCTAATAAGGACACCCCTGAATGAGGACACCTCTCTAATAAGGACACCTTTTCTTCCCCAAGAACACAATTTCTATTTAACCCAAAACACAGTTTCCTTGCAGATTACAGGGTATACAGTATAAGATCTTGCAGTAAATGTTGCTTACTGTGAAGAATTTACTTGTAATAATCTCTACAGTGTACACTCTACGTAAAACGATGATCTATGGCTACATAGACATATGGCTAACACTGTCCGTTTAGGCTGGTCTAAACCAGACCCCTGAAGTGGGCAGAGTCTCAGTGCTGGTGATTTCCTTCTTGAGGCTCTTGGAGACGAAATGTGGAGGTTTTGTCTTCATCTCTTCCACCCTTCCTCCCTCTCTCTCTGTAACAGTGAGAAACACCACTTTGTAGCTGGGAGGTGTCAAATGTGACTAGGGAGAGTTTGGGGAGTAGAAGTAGCTTATTTTTTCGTACTTTTAACAAGCAGTGGAGGGAAGGAGGTCTTAATCACTGGCACTGTCTTATACCTGTGGCATGTCATACGGATGGCTGGCCGCCTGCAACGCACACACACACCCTCCCAGACCTCTCACTGGATCGAACTAATCTTCTATCTCCTCTCCATCCTCCTCCCTCTCTCTCTCAACTGGCTACCGTTCCTCGGGGGCCACTACGGGCAGGCGGGGGCCTGGTGCTGGATCAAAGGCTGCACAACTCGAGGCCTCGTATACCAGGTAGCCCTCGGTTTCTTCCCCACCACGCTTACCTGCACCCTCACCACTAGTCTGGTGGCTGGAATATCCTGCCGTTACTGCCACTGGGCCCGCAGATTCCGTCTCCAGAGACAAGTACTGCTCATAGAGGCAGCCGAAGTCTCACTCCTCCTCCTCTACCTCCTCTGTTACGCCGTCTTCTCCGTCTTTGAAATAGCGTGTGGGGTCATAGTTCGTCGACGAATCGTGCAGTCTTATTGGATTCACATGACGTATGCGATCACCAGACCACTGCTGTTGGCTCTGGTGCCCCTGTCCCTGCTGTGCTACCTTTACTCCACTAGGAGAGTTGTCATGAGGCTCCTCACATGGTGCCCTTGTCTCCAGTCACCACACTCTTACAGAACAGCGAGGGAGCCAATGGAGGGAGACAAGACGCGGGAGAAGAAGAGGCTACTGAGAGGGGGCGGAGGTGAGGGTACAGACAGACTGTACACCAGTTCATCGCCAGCGGTTACGGGGATAAACAGGCAGTCCTCTATTGAGACTACCGAGGAAGACGATGATCCTCTGTACAGTACAACTACTGACAGCCATTGAGACCTAGTGTCCCTCTCCCAACATAGTGGGACACGTTCAACGTTTGTACATTTTACAGCAAAAGGACCACTTGCAAGTTATCAGCCGATTGCGAGTCCGAAGTTTCCCACACTATAATGGTGTGTGTGTGTGTGTGTGTGTGTGATCACCTTATCAAGGTCAGGGTGCACCAAGGCCACGTAGTCGTTACACGCGATGACATTTCCGAGTGCCGATAGTTTCTCCTCAACCCTCTGTATCTTGACCTCGTCAGGCAGGGAGTTCCTCAGGTGCTGCAACTCCTGAGGCGAGGTAGGGAGGAGAGATGGACGGGAAAAAAACTAACAAACTTTAGAACACAACTTATAGTCTTACCTGGTCAGTGGTGGTGTTGGGCACCAGGAGTCCGTGTCTGTTACCTATAGGCCGTAGAGAGAGGTACTGTGATGGGGGACCAATAGACGAGAGAGGAATTGTCTCACCCACACACAGTCTGCCGATGATCCTACAGTCTGCTATAGAGGCATACACCACTGGAATGGCGTCAGACAATTCCCCTTCAAACACACTGTGTGGGTGGTATGGAGAGACACTCACGTGAGACGCTGGGTTCTGTATACAGTATATACCTGTAGAAGTTTGCGGAGCCTCCGATGGCCACGAGGCAGTATTTGTTTGTGAGCGTCGAGAAGACGCCGACCTCGCTGTTGCCTTCGAACTGGACACGAACCGCCATATCTAGTCGTCTCCCTACAGGTCTTGGGTAATAGGACGATGAATGGTCGCACAGACAGAATACGAGACGGAAGAAAAAGAGCTTGCACCAACGTTGGCAATGTCACGTGTTGAGTTCAAAAGTTCAGTGACCTTTAACCTTGCAAAATGTGTGCGGATTTTGCAGAGGACAAGGCGCGGGTGCTTGGCGGAGTAGACCTGAGCAGGAAAGGTAGTGTGGACGCCGCCATCTTGCCTCTGGTGGGCTACTTAAACCGCCTGGACTGTTACTACTCCACCAGCTCATGCTCTGGACGACTAGTGCTCTTTGCAGAGGTTGGCTTTCTCACGCGCACGCGCAAATTGAGCCCCGCCCATTCAGTTTGCGCGTGCGTGTGTGGAAGCACGTAGGGCACCTCTTCACCAACTGTAGGGCGAAGAGCAGAGAAAGAAAGGTTGCAGCTGGCTGCTGGTATCACATGATCCTCTGGAACCAGCCCAGCTGGTTAGTCAGTCCACTGCAGTGACACCTGCACAACCCACACCTCTGATGAAAATAATAGGAGGAGGCACTGAGGTGTGAAAGACTAGGAGAACACACAGGATATGTCTACTTCAAGTTTGAGCCTTTTGTGCTGCATGTGATGTGTGCCACCCTCTCTGATGCAAGACTCATGGTGAGCTAAAACATTGGTCTCTATTCTAGACTTTTTGTGTTTGTTTTTCTTTAGCTGCAGACGGCGGTTGCGTCTGGGTTTCGTAACTCAGGTCTGTCGTGTGGGAAGAAGGAGAGGTGGATGGTTGCAGGTGAGAGGGAAGAGGCACAAATCTCTCACGTTTTCTCTCAGTTAGTCCGCAGCACACACTCGCTGGAGGTGCCGCTGGCCCACGACAATACACTCCTCACTACCACTGAGGTAAATACACAACGTGGACCACGAGTCTGCTTCATCCCCTCGTTACCATTGCCGCAGTACCGCAGACATGTTGTGGATATTGGGAATGCCAAACTGAGGGAAAACTTGCAGAGAGTTGACAGGTATATTATACTACATATAGTGTGGTACTCTGAATAAAGCACACCGCTCTAAGAGATGGGTATGATTTAGGACAACCATCTATCATGACAGTGTGTGCCTCTATGGACAGGTTCCACAGGGAGTTGACTGGTGCAATAGAGAGGAGAGACCGTGATATCAACATAGAGAAGAAGATCAAGTCTTACACCGGTAGACGAAAAACGACCAAACCAAGTGATTCACCTCAGCCATCTCAGCTCATAGAAAATGAAAGTGACACTGACGACGAAATAGCAACTCTATTTAGCTAGTAATTATACTCAAATTTATGAAACAGTGCCAACATGACAGTAAAACAGCACAGCTGTGTGCAATAATTAGAAACTTACAATTCTAGTGCGAGACAAGCAGTGTGTGTGCGTGTTGTTCATGTCAGTTGCCATGCAGTGGGAATAAGGTTGGTGGGGGAATGGAGGGAGGGGATCAGGGCGTGTCGCTCTGCGGCAATCGTTCAGCGTTGGCCAATATCCACCGGTGTTTTAGAACATTTGGGAGAGAGATCCTATTGCACGGCAGCTTCTGGAGAAGCTGAGGAACAAGAGGTGAGGAGAAGATGAGAGGAGAATAGTGGAATATGTGTGCATAACTATACCTTTGAGATGAGGTCTCTTGCTCCCTCAGACACGTGGCTTGGGAAGCGAAGATCAACCTACATACCACACAAAACACACAATTCCAATCTTCACGTAGAACTCAGGAGAGTGTCTTATAACGGACCTTGCTAATTACAGGGAGAAGGAGAGAGAGTGTGTAATTACACTCACCTTGCAGATTCTGTTGTAAGTTTCTCTCTGTGTCGAGGACTCAAATGGAGGAGACCCGACAAGGAACTCGTAGCAGAGGACTCCGAGACCCCAGATGTCAACTCTCTCGTCGTGCTGCTTGCTCTCCACCATCTCTGGAGGCAGGTAGTCCAGTGTGCCACACATGGTGGTCCGTCTGTATGTCAAACACACAATAAGAGAGATACTAACTTTACTCATGGGCAGGCATGTTTAGCAAATTCCAAAGCCCTTTAGCTAGAATGTTATTTGTCACCACTTCTGCAATCAATTTCTGGCTTGCCTGGAAGAAGGGGCGTGTACAGACCAGCCGAAATCCGAGACTTTGAGGTCTCCCCTCAAGTTGACGAGCAGGTTTTCTGGCTTAATGTCTCTGTGAATGACTTTCTTGGAGTGGCAGTAGTGAAGGGCGTCGGCCAGCTGTGCCACGTACTGCGGGGGGTGTGGCCAGTGGGTGTGGTCACAGGTAGGGGGCAGTTGACTCACCGTGGCCGCTCTCTGCTCTGGAAACTTTGTGGCTTTCTGCAGTTCCTTGAATAGCTCGCCGCGGGGAGCATACTCCAGGATCAGGTAGATCCTCGTACTGTCGTAGAAATACCCATAGAGCCGGAGGATGTTGGGATGCCTGTGGAAATAGGTATTGGGTAAACTCCCTCCATTAGCGGGGCAATTACTGGTACCGAAGGTGGGACTGTATCTCGATCTCTCGTCTCAGTTGGTGCTCCACTTGGGCCTGTTGTAACTGGCTCTTGAACAACACCTGACATCAACACAAATACGCTGAATGTGGTTTTGAACAACGTTCGGTTGGCTAACTGACTTTTATTGCGACGACAAATTTGGTCTTTTTCTCACGTGCGAGGTATACGCTCCCAAATTTGCCTCTGCCGAGTGGCCGCCCAATGTCGAAATCCTGCAGCGTCCACCTCTTTCCCCTGATAGAAGAGAGAGATTGCGTACAAAGTCAGATAGCGAAAAGCTGGGGTTCTCACTTAGTGGCTTGGGGCTGGTCCTCTCTCCCATCCTCCCCAAAAGTTGCAGGAGCCGCCGATTTGTCGGCTCTGGGGTCTTGGCTGGCCGCCGTCTGAGCCGTACTGGCCGGCAGAACTGGTACACCACTAGTCCCTGGTACCTTACTCTGTAGCAGAAAATAAGATACACTTGACGCCACACAAGGAGAGGGAACACTGACGGTAGGGTTGAGTTTGGCGGCGGGGACGTGTGTTTTGATCGCTCGGTTTTCCTTGTCCAGCCGCATGTCTTTTACCTGCCATGCAATATCAAGTCAGTCACAGAAACGTCTCGAGAGACGGACGGGATCGCTCACCTGCTGAATTTTGGCCATCATCCTCGTTTTACCTGCTGTCTCTCTTCCCTGATCTGTGTCTCTCTCCCCGGCTTCCCGTGCCGCGAAATTTTGAATTTTGCGATCACAACCACGCATGCGCAATGAAAGTAGGCGGCCCAGCAAAAACCTCGTGGTGAAACCAGACCCATATTCTGACTAGCGAGAGAACTAAGCGTTGCCGTCATGTCTGATCTGTCAGAGTCCCCCGAGGTGGATGTCGACGATGCGGCTCTGGACACACCCGTAGACGAGAAGCACGCGGAATTGGCGGTGCCCGAAGACCGCGCTCTGGACGAGGAAGATGCCTCGTTGCTGGACGCCGGGCTTGGGGAGACTGCGACGGAAGAAGGCGAGGGAGAGGTGAACGCGGGAGCACTACTGGAGGAGAGCAACGACTCCGTAAACGTGGAAGATCCGGTACGATCCCGTGACGGTGGGCCGGGGTGTGAACTGTGTTCTAAATAATGCCTCCCTCGACATGTGAGCGTGTTTTACATTGTCTGCCGGCCATTCAGGAGATCGAGGCCATCAAGGCTCGTGTCAAAGAGATGGAGGAAGAGGCGGAGAAGCTGAAAGAGATGCAGACTGAAGTCGAGAAGCAGATGTCCACGAAATCAGGTGAGATTTTGAGCTCACTAGGAGAGCCACGCCTCCCATTACTACCTGTCGCCATCAGCTTCACAGTATCCCACACCTGAAGAGAAGGCTGAGATGGACGCCAGATCAGTATACGTGGGCAGTGTAAGTCCTGTCATTTGTGTCTCTGTGTGTGTTTGAATGAACGTGTTGTTGGTTGCTGGATGCAGGTGGACTACCAGTCAACGGCAGAAGAACTAGGCCAGCATTTCCAGGCCTGTGGCTCCATCAATCGTGTCACCATCCTCTGTGACAAGTACACCGGGTCCCCTAAAGGGTAACCTGACAACCAGTCCACCGCACATCCTCTGGTAACTAATACTCCATGTGTAGGTTTGCATACGTGGAGTTTGCAGAGAAGGAGATGGTGGAAGAGGCAGTCAAACTGAATGAGTCTCTGTTCAAAGGGAGACAGATCAAGGTGGGTGCCCCACATTTGATGTCGTGCTGTGTCTGACATACTGTGCCGATGTGTGTGTGTGTGTTTCCAGGTGAGCGCGAAGAGAACCAACCGCCCAGGCATTACCACGACGAATCGAGGGGGGAGGGGTAGGGGGAGAGGGAGGGGGAGGGGTTACGGAGCTCCAATGATGATGGGTGGCTACATGATGGTTCCAGTTCCTTCGTACCCTCGAGGAGGCAGGGGGCGTGCCTTCAGGTGAGGAACTACATATCCCGTCCAAAAAACTATTGAACTCTTTTCCGTAGGGGCCGTGCAAGATCCAACTGGTACTCGCCATATTGAGCAGCTAAATCTTCCCTGTTTCCCACCTTTCTAGCCTTCTTCTACTCCTCTCTCTCTAAGTTTCCTTGTGTCTAGTGTGTTGAGGCCTGCTGGACAAAAAAAAAGAAAAAAAGAAAAGAAAAAAGATGGACGGAAAAAGAAGTCCTTTGTACTAGCTGTAGACTTCACTTACTTTGTATTATTGCCTGCTTTCTCTACCTATCTGCATGTTGCCAAGCCAGGCCCAGGCTGTTGGTGATTCATGGCTGTCATGGACCTACAGAACACTGTCTAACTTTACTGGAGATTGTATCACATTTTGTTGGTGTACACGTGGGAAGTGCGCTTCAATTGGAATGGCGCTGCAAGCTTGCCGCAGTGTACTGTCGGGAGGTTTTTCAGGGAAACGTGTAGTGAGAGTAACCATGAGCGGTAGTACGAGGCCTACACATCTGGAGCGAACCCGGGGCGCCTCTCGGGGAGACGTAAGGTCGTAGATATGCCAGTGTGAGCTTTCTTTCCGCCGGTGCAGGTGTCGCAGGTCGTTGTAGAGAGCGTTTCCCAACTCACACCGACCGTGAAGGGGTTCTCCGTGCGCGCAGAGAACGAAAACCTCTCCTTCAAACCTGGACAATGGTACGCGACGTAACACGTCACTCAAGCGTAGCCCTTACGGTTGCGTTTCGTTAGGGTTGACGTGCACATACCGTCAGTCGAGACGGTGGGAGGCTACTCCATCACCTCAGCTCCCCACCTCCTGAGGGAGAGAGGAGTGTTCACACTTGCCATTCAGCACTCCAGTCACCCTCCTACTCTCTGGATGACCTCTCAATGCAGGGAGGGGGACACACTCTCCGTCAGGGTGGGCGGAGATTTCGTCTATGATCCCACACCCTCCGAGTCATGTGACTCTCCTCTGATGTCACGTGACCTGTGTCTGATAGCAGGTGGGATTGGGATCAACCCACTGATGTCAATCCTCCTCCACCACACCAAACTAGTGGAGCTGGGTCAAGCAGCAGGGAGGGTGAATTTACTCTACTCTGCAAGAAATGTTTCCGAGCTCCTGTTCAAGGTTTGTGCAATAGCAACCTTCAGTTTTCACTGGAGGTATTAATTACAACAGGAGGAGATTGACAGACTCTGCTCCATGCATTCCTCTTGGCTGACTTCCAACTTCTTCATCACTCGTCAGAAACTAGCAGCCGGCAATCCTGACACTCACATAAACATGGGTACTTACTCTATTCCCTGAATAATTTCAAGGGGGAAAACTCGGAAGTATAATTATGACATTACTGTTCCTCTGTATATAGTTGAGAGGAGAATAGAAGAAGCCAACATATCTGCCTGTCTACCAGAGTCCGAAGGTCGGCTGGTCTCCAGCTATGTGTGTGGACCTCTGGAGATGATAGAGACTGCGTCACGCTGGCTGGAAGCCAGTGGGCAAGCTCGGGAACACATACATACCGAGAAATGGTGGTAGAAATGTTTTAATCACACCATCTTGATTGATATAATTACCGCGACCCCAAATATTTTCAGGTGTGTAAACAATATACAATGTGCTGGCTCATTTGCCTGGGATCACCATTATTGCAAAATTGTTTTTCATTTCATGTGAGTGAGACTCAATTTGTGTGAGGATGAAGGACGGATGCACACAAAACCAGTGGCAGAGAGTGAATTGTGATGAGCACGGGTGACAATGTGGTGTGTGTCATGTGTGCCAGTGGGAGTTGTGAGATGAGGAGCTCTGACGTGAAGCACTCAGCCTCTCCAACTGCCTGTGGAACACTGGGAGGGATGGAGAGAGGGAACAGATTTAGGAGAGGCTGAGGTTCCTATGGTGTTTAGCACCACTAGTGAAGAGAAACTCTTACTGTCAGGGCTATTGGTGTCGATGGTATCAGCAGGACAAGATGCACCATAGTGGCCTTTCTTCCCACAGTTGAAACAAGTTGGAGGGGGAGGTTGGACCGAGCCCCTGCTGTGATTACTCAGAATGGGAGGGTACGCGGAGATCACTCCACAGCCAGCCGGCGAGGTGAGATAGGGGGGCCTCTGCAGAACCTGGGGGACCCCTATTGCGGGAGGTAGCGTGGGGAGGAGTCCGTTTACCCCCAGAGCAGTCACAGATTGATGGGGTCCTCGGTGTCTCCGCCCCCCAGGGAGGTGGGAATTTTGCAGGAGGGGTCTAGGAACCCAGTTTGCAGTCTGACCCCCCGGAATACTACGAGACGATGACGACTGAGGATGATAGGATGCTCTGGTAGAGGTCATGGGGTCACTGTGACTCCACCCATCTGGCGGCTCAGCCGAGTGTCGTTTGTTGATCGGAGTATGATGAGCCTGTTTTGTTGTGGGGTGAGACGGAGTACTGGAGTGGGGTACCCCGGGGTCTCGGTGGAGTACAGCCCACTCCGGAGTACGGGCCTCTCTCTCGTCTTCCCCGGCATCGTCCAGTCGATCCGCCCAGCTCTTAGACACACCCACTGCCCCGCCCACACTGCTCCGAGTGAGTGTCGACTTGGAGACGTCAGACTCCACGTCGCTGGTTGCCGGGGGAGACAGGATGGGAGGAGAAGAGGGAGACGTTACAGACAGCGGAGGAGACACCACTGAGCTCTTCAGTGTCCCGTCCTTCCCCGTGCCTCCTTGACCTGCCGTCATGGCCTTCAGCACAGCGACGTCATAGCTAGCAGGACTCTGGGCTCCGTTCAGTGTGTAGAACATGTCTGTCATACTGCCCGAGGTCTGAGACACAATCAGAGCTGCCTTGTCCAGACTGCAGGTGCTGTCCGTGGGGCTGAGACCGTCGACACTTGAGCTGGGAGTCGTCACCCTGTTCTCTGTCAGTAGAGCCGCAGGGAGACTGCATGTCGAGGGTTTCCGAGTCATTCGAGGGTTGTAGGGCATGTCGCGAAACCCTGTGAAGTTGTGGGCCCTGGGAACCAGAGAATGTGTATAATTCGTGTACATGACCCCCAATTATAGGCAAACAGCATGTTTAGACTCGAAATGGGAGAATTTAGAACAAACTGCACAACCACATCCACGTAAATAATATGTATATTGTGTGTTTCTGCATTGGGTGTTTCAAAGTACAGCACACAAGCAGGCCTGATCTACCCTTTTGCAGCAACCAAATCTCACTAAACAACAGAGTGGCTGTGGACTCAGCCAAACTGCTGAGGCGGCAGGTCTAGGTTTGGTAATGCTGGCTGGCCGGTTGCTTCACTCCAGCCACTAGAACAGCTGCCAACCAACCACCTCAGCCCACAACACACGTGCCATGCTTGCTATTGCTGCTTTTTGGGTTGAATGAGAGCACTTGCGCACATGATAGAGAGAATGTGTGTATATTCTTACTTCAGTTCCTCGATCTTCCCAACGAGTTTGTTAGCAGCTCCTTCAGTCATTCCTCTCTTCTTCAGAGATGCTTTGTTCAGTGCTAAAAGCTGGAGAGAGGGGGGAGGGGGGGATAAAGGAACTCTATATCAAATTGCCCATATGAAAAGTTAATCGTCGTGAGTAATGCCTCGTATCACAAGTTCCTCTCCTAAAATGGCAAGCATACCGCCAATTAAGCATATGGACACACTGTGACTCACACTACCAACTTTGGAGTAGGCTGAATACCACAGGAATTTAAAAACGCTCGCTATAAAAAACCGCGAGGAAATGCCATCATGAATGTAGTAGCTTTTCGAGAGAAAACATTAGTGTTTTATAGTAACGTGCAAGACAACTTTCTAATGCAGACTAGATGGTGTTGATACTTACATCGTCAAATGTCATGTTCTCGAAGATGGAGGCATACTTGTGAAGTCGAAGGCTTTTGAGCCAGCGAGTTAGACTCTCGTACTCCGTTGGAGTTCGTGAGATGTTGCTGGAGCTCTTACCCCGGAGTACCCCTGGAGTAAGAGGGGAGGGGGAGGGGGAGTGGATGGGGGAACCGTAGCCAATGATGATGGGGTTAAAGAACGGAATTGGCGGGCCAACAGGGAGTGGGAGGGAATAGGAGAGCTCGCCAATGGGGGTCGTCTTCCCGGCAAATTGGAGGGGCGGGGGAGGGGAGGGGACAACGGTGGGTCTGTGTACGACGTGTGGGTGAGCGAAGTAGGGGAGGGGCTTCGTGGGGGAGGGGGCAGGGGGAAAAGACGAAGGTGAGGGTGCGTAGGTCGATGTCGGCTTGGACGTGGCGGAGGAAGATGTGTGAGGAGTGGAATAGGTGGCAGTGGAGATGGTGGGATGGTGTGAGATTACAGAGATTGCTGAGGTGGATGGTGCCATGGTAACGGCTTGTTCCCATGACGACTGTGAGGAGGTGACTTGTGAGGGTGTGGAGAATGAGGCTGTGGATGTAGTGACAACTTTAGCCGAGGAATCCACTGTATTTGTTACCTCGGCAACCGTTTCCATGGAGACTGACTCCCCAGTGCTAGAGGCTGAGCTGCTGTTAGCGATGGAAGGTTGTGAGTTTGTGAGGTGGGTGGAAGTGGGCGGAGTCTCATGCTGTTGGGGAGGGGTGACGGGTGTAAAGGCGGAGCGGCGAGAAGGATACGTGAACCGTCTCTCCAGCCCTGCGGCTTCCTCCTTGGCCTGCGAAGTGGAGGAGGTAGACTGGTGAGGGAGTGTGTGTGCCGTCCGAGACTGAGTAGGTGTGGTCTCTGCCGAGGCTCGGTGAAGGGGGGAGGGCCGCTGGATCTGGGGGGAACCTTTGCCCCCCACTAAGGGGTCTGTGTAGTTCCGCAACCTCGCCTTTCCTGACTCCAGAAGGTCTGCGATGGAGACAGGAACTCAGTTACCACACACACTCACACACAGACACGTAGACATTAGGAATGTTGTGTATCATCAAATGGTGTTTAATTGGAAAACTATACTTTGCCATATTCGAAAGTGCAGTAAGCAAAGAAAAGGGCTGACCATAGAGATTGGTGATTTTCTCCACTGGAGGATACTCCTCTCGCAGGTCCTGTGGTCGCGGTCTTAAGAACTCTGAGACATGTTCACATCGACATATCTTCTCAGGTAACACCAGCAGCTCCCTGAACGAGATGAGAAAGAGAGGAGAGAGAGAGAAGAGAAGAGAGAGATGAAGTTCAGAACTGAAACAGTTGGTTGAGATTCACTTGGCATATCTGTGAAGCTCGGGAAGCCTCTTCTCGGCCATCTCTCTGCTGTTAGTGAGAAGTCGAGGAATGTACTTGCCAGGGAGGAACGGGATCATCCGCTCCTTTTTGTTTTTCTGTCCTCCTTCCTCTGGAAAGTGGTCCAGTAGCTGTGGGGAGGAGGGGAGAGGAGGGGGAGAGGAGGGGAGGAGGGATTACTGGCACACACGCAGCATAGCGGTCTTGATAGATACACAGAGCAAATGAGAGAGAGAGAGGCAGACCTTGGTGTGGAAGGAGAAGAAATCTCCGTAAGTCCTACGCACGCAACACGATGTCCCGTCACTCCACTCCACCTACAATAATAATATTTCCGAGGTTAACATACAAGACGGTGTGTGCAAGTGAGTATTGTTGTAGTGCCGGTGGCCTTATGAAGGACGAGCGAGGAAAGATGGAGGTACAGGGAAACCCACCACTGCTACGATAACTACTGTCTTACTCGTGAGGCTGACCACTTGCATACCAAACCGACATTCCTCATCTATTGCACGCACTACGTACCGCCAAAGAATTGCCGAGGATTGCGTAATCTGAGGCCCCAGAGGAGGGTTGTGTAAAATTACATGTGTTGTGTACAAGATTACATACATACATACATGTGTGCTGTACAGTACAGTGTGAGTACGTGTGTGTTGTGTACAAGATTACATACATACATGTGTTGTAGCCTACAAGTCTGGAGATGTAAATGTGATGTTGCGTACAAGTTAGATACATACACATGTATTGGACAAGATTAGATACATACACATGTATTGGACAAGATTAGATACATACACATGTATTGGACAAGATTAGATACAAGTACACATGTACATACATAGGTACAGACAGAGAGTGGGGGGTAGAAAGTAATGATTGCTAGTTACCTGGATCATGTAGGGGTAGCGTTTGTCAGCTCTCTTGTAAACACTGTGGACCTCACAGGAGATCACAAAGGCTGCAGAGATGAGAGGAAAACAAAGGAAAGAGAAGGGAGAGGGAAAGGAGGGAGAAGAGGCTGCTAGCAAGGGGATACCCAACGAATGTAACACAGCCTAATTTGCCGGTACTATTGATATGGGGGGCAGGAATGCTTGGTTAGGGCTGGGAACGAGGCACTGGTAGACGGGGTCCATCTGCCCGGGCCCACAACAGTGGCTGGAGCCAGTGACCACTACCTCCCTGCCCACCCCTGCCAGCCCCTGCCCCTCTATGGCACTGTCACCTCCACCGCTGCCAAATTATGACGTGGCCTTCCCGGCCTCCAGTGTCAACAATGACAGACTGGCAAAGAACGCCACTTTGGGGGGCAAGATAGAAAGGGTTGCCGAAGAGACTATGGTGGGATACAACAGACAAAACAGCGCCAAAAGACAGGTTCCACGCAGCTTCTGATGTCATCTGATGACACTCCAATGGAAGGGTTTTGGCAAAATAGGTTTTACAAAAGAGATCGAGACAGAATCATTCTCCAGTCACTACACACCCACACCCACAGGGAGTGGGGGTACGGTGCACGAGTGGCTCTTGGAAAACAGCCGACACTAGATCTTAGCTCAGGAAAGACGGCTCTAATAGGGAATTAGGTAAAAGGTGTGGCCAACATGACGGGCTCTCAGGGAGAGAAGTGCTGACACAGCGTCACATGACATATACGGCAGTCCAGAATGCAGCAATCGAGTAAGCGACAAGGCCAGACGCGAAAAGAGCCAATATTTGGCCATCTCTCTCTCTCTCGGAGAGAGAGAGAGAGAGAGAGAGAGAGAGATGTGTCCTCACCATGTCTCCCCGGTTCCCTGCGTAGCGTAGTTGACCCATCTGCTTCTCCTGACTGCAGACAAAAAGAGAGAGAGGGAGGAGAGGGGAAGAGAAATAGAAAGGATGTGAGTTTGGGAAAGTTACAACTAGAAACAGAGGCCGTAAAGAAAGCCTAAAACGAGGAAAACAAGCCACAGATGAGAATCGGGGTTCAACCCTCACTGTGCCACTCTCTCTATATATGGGGCTGTGGGGTGGGAAACAAACACACTGTGTGCTCTGTTTTCCTGCTGAGGTTCTGCTGGTGTTTCAGAATGGCTCCGGCAAAGGAGAGGGATGGGCAGCTGAAAACACGGCTTCGCTGCTACTGGGACTCTTACTGCACCAGGTGACATGTACGTGAAGCAGCATATGGCAACATCTATTCTCTACTAACGTATGTGTGTATAGTACAATAGGATTCAGTGAGTGCCTACCGCGTTAGACGGAACATAAGCACCACTTGTAAGGTACCATGGGGTACATGTTGGACACTGCTCTCTTTAGGAATTTCCAAACTGGTAGCTAGGCAACCTCGCTGTTACTAGGGGTAACAGCTAAAGAAACTAAGTGGGTATATTAGATTGATAAAGCAGTGAGCCCACGTGGAGCCTGCTGAGACCCACACACTGAGGTTATGTGTACACACATCGTCATCAAAGTTGATAAAAATTTTGACGCTTGCCGTCTTCCTATATTTCCATACAATTCCAATTGCATGACACTCTGTGTGCGAGATGCAGCCCTCGAGGAGGAGGATAAGAAGAGGAGAGGGAGGGAAAAGGGATCCTCCTCCCAGCTACGTATGTCTGGTGTGTATAAAGTAGTGTGATTGCTAATTTTGTGTAAAGACTGCATGGTTTCAGGGAATACACAAAATAGCAATCTGTATGTATATACATCCACTGGTGGTAAACGATCCCATTTGCCGGCAACAGGGATACCTCCTTTTCTGCTTTTTACTTTTTTAACATGCAGATAGAGCAAATTTGTGAGCACTTAGTCAAGAGTAGCACCCAGTATAGAGAGGTGTCCCATATATGAGAGGTAGGATGTAGGAATATGTGTGGGGATAAGGGAGAGATACAGAGGGAGGGGGAATGGGAGGGGGGAAAGGCACACCTCAGTTGAGGAGGAGAGGTTGAGCAGCTTTCTCTTCCCCCTGTACACTGAGTCCATTCTCTGGAGGTAGCGGTAGAGGAGTTGCTGCCGTTGGTTAAAGGACAGTGCGGGGTGGTTGACCGCCATTACATAGAGCAGTCGCAGGTCGTTGAGGACCTTTACGTCACTGGTTTCGTCAAACAGCTGGAGAACCTGTGGGTTGTCAAGAAGGCCACACACTGCCTCCGCCACTGGGTTATTGTGAGCGTGGACCACAGCCAGAGCACAGCACAGCTTCTCGCAGATTTCGTGAGTGAGGGCGCCAGATTTGAACCCTGAGTAGTGGTTCACCTGGTTGGCCACCACCTCCAGTGCCGAGAAGCTCTTCATCTGGGCGTGGGCGGCGTCCAGGAGAACCGTTCCGAGGAATCGGAGCTCGTATGGAACACAGATACGCAGGAGACGGCAGATGAGGTCCAGTCGGTCGCACGTCGGCATCGTGTGGAAGGCACTGAGTACCTCTGGTACCTTCATCTTCTACAGCCTCTCCCTCTTTTTCTCTATTTTCAGGGAATTGGTAATCACTCCGGCGGAATTCTACGGTGGAATAACTTGCATGGAAGTGCTAGAAGCTAGATCGGCTCACTCACAGGCGAATATGGAAGGATTCGCGGGGGAGCACTGTCGAGGTCGAATTACGTCTTCTCTAGTGCTGGGCTAGCTTCGTCCAGAATGCACGGCCGATCAGCTCCGTCGCAGGAACAACATGACAAAGGTTTGGGCGGCCCTCATCTAAAGCTAGCGGTCGTTCTGGTCGGGTCTCGGCGTCTTACGCAGCACTCCAGTCACTTGGCAAACAGACACAAAACAGATCCTCGGCTCCAGACCTGCTCAAAAAACCAAGCGAAGGAATGCCTCGGATTACTTCAGACGAAATTGTTATTACCTAATTATGCGAAACGCTAAATTACCATGAAATGTTGAACTGCTCGTAAGAAAATTTCCTGGAGTGCACAGTGCATGTGTTGTAGTATGTCTCGACAGAGGAGAGCGTCTCAAAGAGGTAGAGCGCAGCTGACGCTCGTGCCTGGCGACGAATATCTTGAGTCAGTGGAAGCGCAGAGTTTGCAAGTTCTGGTGAGATCGATCACGTGCACCGTCCTAAATAATGTGACTGGCTGGTTTTGCAGACTTACTGCAAGTTAGCGAGGCTTCCAGTGGAGGTCCACACAGCGTGTCTACCTTGGAAATCACCTTCATGTAAGTCAGTCGGAACTCCTGTAATATTCTCAATTACCGCTAATTGCAGGGAAGTACCCAGTGATGAAATTAGGCAACAAAACTGTCTCAGGATCGGTGGAAGACATCATTTCTGCCGTCAAACAAACAGTGAGAGCAGCAGTGTTAGCTCCAGTGACGTGCACCCTTCCCTCCCTCCCTTGGCAGGGATTCAACATAGACCGGAGTCTGGATGACGCAGCGATGGCTGAAACTGCAGCCTACTCTGGTCTCCTCACCCACCGTCTCCTACCAGCTATGGTCTGAACCACCACCCCTCTAGAGTATCAATGACATCAGTGGAACTCCCTTTCTGAGGACCTGTACATTCAATATCAACCCCTTAATTAAGGAACCTCGCCATAATGGTCACTGTTCGTATTAGAGGAGATCACTGACAAACATGAATACATGATTATTCTGAACTTCTTCTCTTCCTCCAGATGTACAGTCAGTGGATGGACACTCAGAACTACATGGAGGTCACCAGTCGTAAGTATGGGAAGATGATGAGTTTCCCGCTCTCTTCCCTCTTCCTCTCCTGGAAATACCGGACCACTCAACGAGATCTAATGAGAGGGGCACCCCCTGACACGAGTCTGGAGCAGCTGGGAATAGAGGTAAGCGAGGGTGGTGTGTTGGAGGTCATGTGACAGTAATGTGATCCAGCTACAAGCAAGAGCGGAGGAAGGAATTAACCTCTTATCCTCAAGACTAGCAGACAGACAATTCTTCAACGGTGAGAGGTGAGAACGCATTTTTTGTTTTAGGTTCACCCTACATATATACACAAGTTCATACGTGTAATTCCACCTCGTGCGGAAGACCCAGAGGTGTGTTTGTTCTGTGTCAGCCCCAGCTCCCTGGATGCCCTGGTGTTTGGTTACCTGGAGGTGATACTGCAGACTCCCCTCCCCTCTTCAAACCTCCTCAACCTTCACCTCCACTCCTGCTCCAACCTCCTCCATTTCTGTTCCCGCATCAGAGCCAAGGCCTTTCCTGATAAGAAACTCAGTGAGTCTGCCCAACAGTCATACTAGAGATGTGTCCTGTAGTTCAAGTGTATCCATATACCTGATGTATTGATTTGATGACCATATGTAAGACGGGGCTCTCTTCACCCATTTCCACTGTCTCTAGGAGTGATGTCGGTGGTAGCAGGAAGACCCTCGGTTCCTCTGTGGAGAGATCCCAAGGTGTGGCTCTCAGTCGGCGTGGCTGGCCTGTTGCTGGGCGTTCAGGCTGCAAGGGTCGGTCTCCTGGCACGCCTTGCCTCCTTCCTGCTCTCCAGAAGAAACCTCACAAACCAATCAGTTTAGCATGCAGAATTTTTTCATCCGCTCCACTATATTGCGCATGCGCGCACGCTTGTTTTGAAAGCGCACGTGAGCGTTTTGAAGCTGGCGAATTGTCTGCTTCTTTCGTCGTCTTTTAGCCCTGTTCCTGGAGAAATGGTGAGTAATAACGCCTCTCGTGACCTTTAGCGACCTCATGAGTACTTCCCCACCTTCATTCGATGCCTCTGGCGACGTTGTTTCCTGCGCATGTGCCAAAGAGAAGTAACGTGGTGATGTTGAGGTAGCCCCCGGGACTCGGTCATCAATGGAGGAGCTGGACGGGGTGAGGCAGAGAGTAGGGAGATACGAGGTCCGTGTGCTAGTTATAATGTTGCAGGTCCTGTTTGGAACCTTCACTCCCAGAGAAGTTTACAACCTGTACAAGTCAGAGACCTCTGCTCTGGAGGTATAGTCACGACACATACACGTCTCTCTCTTCACTGTCTTCATGTCTGCCCTGTCTCCTATCACTGACCCCCTCTGTGCAGTTCGGATGGCTGAGGAAGAAGGCAAACAATAACTGCCTCCACAACTCTCTGCTGAAGACCCCCGAGTTGGCTCGGAGATGTTACAATCTGGGAGGGGCTTCCCCTAATATCCCCCGGAACCCACCAACAACTCCAGTGTCAGAGTTAAACTCTCGCGGAGCAAGTCCCTGTCCAGTCGGCCCCCTCTCAAAACTCAATGCCAACGCCCCTCCCTTCATCCCCTGCTCCAGTCCAGAGCCCGGGGAAGACGAGACTCTCGGTGTGGAACAGGGCCTCTCCTCCGCTCTCGAGGAGAGGTTGACCACACCCACCAATCAGAACAGTCCCTCGCTGGGGTCAGAGGTCGCCGAAGAAAGCTCCACCCCCGTCCAAACAGTTGCCGTGCCAACTCCTTCTCTCCCTTCCGTTGCCGGGGGCGGAGTCTCTGTCAATGAGACAAGAACCGATGCTCCACCCACTTCCCATTCAACTTCCCCTCACAGCAGCACTCAGCAGTCACCATCCTCACACCCTCACTCCTCTCCACCCCCTCCACACAGCACACAGAGCACAACTCCATCATCACAAACACACCCAAAGACCTGGGCTTCGGTGGTCAGGAAAGTTGGGAGTGGCTCTCAATCTGTAGCCACACCCACCTCGTCAGCAGGTCCGTCCGAGGGGAAAGAGAGAGGGGGAGGAGGGGAGGTTGGTGAAAATGGAGGCAGTGTTGAGGCAGCTTCTGTCAGCTCTGAATCCTCGGGGACCAAACCGTCAGTACACCTCAAAAGTCTTGGTGGTGAGTCTATTCATTGATACATCTCGCCAATTAGACAGTTAGTGAGGTGTCTAATTGCATTCAAGAAATTTTCTTGGGTAAAGTTGTTACAGAGGTGTCCCCATTTCTTAGAGAGGGATTCCATGATTGTCTCTCTCACTGATTTGAAATGAATCTTTCTCTTGTCTCTCTGTCCACAGAGCAGCTGGAGGGACTGAAGGTGGCGCATGCTCCTCTCTCCCTCCAGCCTCGCGGCCTCATCAACCAGGGAAACTGGTGCTACATGCATGCTGTATCCTTTGTCATGTGAAAGTCACATGATTCAATCTGATGCTCCAAAGATACACTTTCAAGTTAAACCCTCTGTTTTCCGCACTTCTTCAAGTCCCCATTGAAATACCGTGCTGCCTTGTTTACATCATTGGATTCGTTTTTTCCTTGACCTTTGACCCAGCCGCTGCAGGCACTGATCAGCCTGCCCGAAGTGTGTCACCTCCTCCGAGGGTTGAACCCTGACCCCTTGCTCTCCCGGGACCCCAGTAACACACCTCTCACTGACACACTGTGAGCCTCTCCTAGTCTTCTTACTGCTGCTAATATCTCTCTCTCCTTTCCTCCCCATATCTCTATAGAACACAGTTCATTCAGCAGTTTTCCGAGTACCAAACTCCTCCTCTTCCTACTAGTGAGTTTGTATAGGAAGACAGTAAAACCACTCATAAATCGGGTTTTCAGGTAAATCTTACTTGGCCAAAACAAGTCTGCTGTATAGTGAGCAAGGGGGACTGAAATTAATTGAGAATCTGGTACATGTGGCACTGGGACATTATTCATTTTCCTCCCCCCCCCCCAGCCTCTTCTCCCTCGGTGAAGGGCAAGAGAAAGCGATCTGCGACAGAAGTTGTTTGTGGGTCTCCGTTTAGACCTGACGGCGTGTACGACCTCCTGAACAAGATACAAACCTCCCTCTCTACCAAGGTGGGTGTGGTCAGTGGGTGTGACTTAATATGTTGCTTAATTACTGGGTATGGTTTCAGGGGAGACAGGAGGATGCGGAGGAATTCCTTGGTCATGTTTTGGGAGGGCTTCACGAGGAGATGGTGGCGGCACAGACGGCCGTGGGGCAAGGGAGGGAGCGAGAGAGGGAGGATGGGGAGGACGGGGAGGGTGGGGAGGAGGGGGAGTGGGAACAGGTGGGGCCCAAGAACAAGTCGACTGTCACCAGACAAGTATGTTTTACTCTGTGGTAGCGTTAGGTCAAAGTACACAGTCAGTTCCTTGCTGTCTGAAAATGCATGCTTCAACCTCACAACTGGTGTGTGCAAATGTGGCAGCCATAGCAACAACCTTTGACCTCTGTCCAGCAGGGAGACACTTGTCTTCCCTTAGAAGTTTGGAGGTGACAATGACTATTAGTGACAGGATGGGTATATTATATTAGTCAAACCATAAAGAGAGGAAGTGTCTGGTTTTGTAGAATGTATCTGTGGAATGTTGAATCCATTCATTGTAAAATTCTTGCAAATCAGTTGGCACTTAGCGCTTTCAAGTAAACAATGAGTGTATAGAGTGAAGGATTGGGATGGGAATATTGCTGTAACCATGGTGATTCTGATGTGTCCAGATGGGGTTCAGAGAGAGTGTGGTGAGCGAGGTGTTTGGTGGAGAGGTGAGGTGTGTCCTCCAGAGACAGGGGGCCAAGGAGTCTGCCACTGTGGAGCCTTTCTTCTCCCTCCAACTAGACATTCAGGTCTCTCTCTCTTCTCTGGCATCTTTGACATTTTACAAGCCACGGATTTTCTGTGTGAAATTGTACACGTTTTGTTACGTCCTTTCCCCATGCATATAGTACACCTCTCTCTCTCTCTCTCTCCTCTCATTAGTCAGGTGAGGTGTGGAGTCTTCAAGATGCTCTCGTGTGTCTGGCAACGAGGGAAGCCGTTCAAATGAACAGCGGAACTCAAAACGAGGTACATATATTATTCACAAAAAGTCTAATACTTAGAATTTTATTCTCCCTAACATTGTGACCCAACCTTGCATGGAGCAGTAAGCACTAGAAGGCCCACAGATCCCCTGCTCACCTCTCTCTCTGTGTGGGGGGCCAACCCTGCTGACATGGTTCTGGCTCAGAACCTGGTGTACTAATGGTATTAGCAGTCCCCACAGCTATAGAGAGGCCAGCGGGACCAGCTAGCTCAGCCCCCCATCTGTGGTTTTGGCGAAGGCTCTTGCTAGCTAAGCAGATTAAGTGCCGTGCCTGACCCTGGTCTGTCTAATCCTACCCCCAGCCTCCACATTGATTATGGTGCTAATTGGGGGTTATTTAATTGGTGTTTGTACTAGTGACAGATGGTGGGGCAGGCCTGCCAGCTCACGTCTGCTGTGGTAATGGAGGAGAGGGAAAAGTAGAGGATGGAGTTGTGGTATTATCTTGTCGATTTTGGGTCACAATGCTAAAAGTTAGGGAGAATAAAATTTCACAAAGTATCTGAAATATTGTCGATTTAGTTACGTGTTTGTTTACCATTTAACTGCAATGCCTCCAAGTCCTTACAATACATGTTCCCCTGCGTCCTGAGAGTTGCGGTCAAGGGTGTCCATGTGGCACGTACAAAGAATACCCCACGATTTCCTCGGGGGAGCCTGGGAACTAGGCTGGAGAGAGAGAGAGAGGAGGGTGACGGAGTTGGTAGAACGTGGCTATTGATCATGTTCCAGAGTCGTGAGACACTACACAGAGTGACATCGTCTTATTTCTCCACTGGTGTGGGGTGATGGGAGAGTGTTAGAAAAGAGAGGGTGGGAGGGAGGAGGGGGAGTGAGAGGGGCTGGTCAGAGAGGCCATATTGGCGTGGGACTTGTCTAAACCAGTGCTCCATATTAGGAAGGGCTCCAGATATGGGCCACCCGTCCACTACTTGTGTGGTCTGGTACACCACCGGAGAAAAAACATCATCAATGTAGGGTTTGCTCCTCATCTAGTAGACTCTTTAACCCTTCGCACACATGTTTTATTGCCGTGTATTTAACCCTTCTCTCCCTGCAGGTGGATGCCCACCGCCGACAGAGCCTGGCTCGACTACCCATGGTGCTGGTGCTGCATTTGAAGAGGTTCCTGTTTGACAAGACTGGCGGGTCGCAGAAATTGATGAAACAGGTTTCATACAAGATTGACCTGGAGGTTGTCAGAGGTGAGAGGGGGTGGGTGTGCCTGCTGCGATGGTGCGAATTGTAAACCAATTAGTTGGTTGTCAAGAGATAATTAATTGGCATTGTTGGTCTGTCTCATTCCTTCAGACGGCCTGGGCCTGGTTGCTAGGCATGGCATCAGGTACCAACTGGTGAGCGAAAACCGATCTCTAGTTCTCGGAACTGCGTAAGACTTCCCCAGTCACTGAGGCTAATAGCGTGGGTGTATGGAGGAACTGTAGCGGTAGTGGAGCCCCTCAATTCCAGACACCAATAGGACAATAGAGGTGTGGGTATTAGCGAGGTGTCCTCCTTATCTCAGGGTTAATTTCTTGCAGGAAGTCTGTCTTCTTGGGGAACTGTTAGAGATTTCCTCCAGGCTGCAGCTACATACACAGTGGTTCATACGTAGTGTTGCATGCTGTGGGTGGTAAGGACAGTTAGGTGGGTGTTCAGTAAGAGTGGGCAGCAGTATGGGTGGCCAGTGAGGGGAGATGAGGGTGAGTAAACTTCAGTAATTGCCATCATTTGGTGCAGAGAGTGGCTGTTTGAAGACTGCCTGTGTGAGAGAGAGACACAGCGTCAGGAAAACAAGTTTAGATTGGCATAATTATAGGATGTAACCCATGATCAGTGTCATAGTGATTGGATGTATACACATGGAACTGTACACACTATAGGCTATGTAGTAACACAGTATAAATGTATATGGAGAGGTGGTAAGAGTATGATATGGCGGGCTCTGTGTGGTGTAAATATAGGCTATAAGGAGAGTATGGTTCTCTCTCTCTACTGCAGACCTGCTGGCACCAAGTATCAGAGGCAAAGTCACCAATGACCAGAGAACCTACAAACTATGGGCAGGTTTGTTGCTCTATACATCTCTATATGTACATCTCTATACATCTCTAGTACATCTCTATACATCTCTATACATCTCTATATGTACATCTCTATACATCTCTATATGTACATCTCTATACATCTCTATGTACATCTCTATACATCTCTATATGTACATCTCTATGTGAGCATATTATGGCCACTGTGAAACCTCTGATCAAGGGACACATTGAAAGTGAGAGCCGCCGCCCCTCTTCTGAGGTCAAATGTATTATCAGAGCCAAGTGTCCTTTATAGATAGGTATCCATTATTCTGAGGTCCATTTTTTGAGGTTTCACTGCAGACTGAGTGTTTTAGGTTTGTTTATCTCTGCTCTGTATAGCAAATGTATGTCTCTCTATCTGAGTAATTGCCTCTCGTAAGTAATGTATGTCTTCTGTTATGTTTCTCTCTAGTTACCTTACATAGCTGTTTGTCTGTGTGTGTCCTTGGTGCAAGGAGGGACGTAGGTTGGTAGTGATGTAACTGGTTCCTACATTCTCTGCCCCAAATGAGCCATGGCAACTCAAACTAACTGGAATTACTCGAACAAACTCAGCATATGACAACATTCTGGCCATCTCGTGTCATGTATACCACTTGAACTTTGACCTGTTTGCCGTATAACAGGATCTCAGTGTCGTCTGTCACCATTAACCCTTTCCAAACCACACAATAGTCCGCTGTACTCACTTACCGCAGCAACGTAACAAGTTGTCTTCTCATGTTCAGCGGCCCCTCTCAACTTCCCTCTATCTGTCCGGGAGTACGTGTGTGTGTGTGTACACATCGTCTTATACAGTCATTTCTCGTAGGCAGCATTCTGAGACCGTCTCAGGTGAACCAGTATCACTGTCCTCTGTGACACCACGTGTGGCTCTCTGTGAACACCTGATAGCACTAGACCACGGTTGGGATGAGGGGGAGGGAGTAATACGATGAGGACACTGTGTCCCTATCTCAGTCAATGTTTTATAGTGGAGATCGCAGCCTGTGTTAGGTCTAGTGCTCCTCTGGTGGCCTGAGGGGGAGTGGGGGAGAGATTGCTCTTATTAGGACAGTGTGGAGAAGTTTAGGAACGGAGGTTCTGTCATCCTGAACACATTTGGTTTGTTTTGCATAGATAAGGGAGTGCTGGCATATTATACTCAGACCTCATTTGGAGTTTGTTAGGAATTTGCTCAGAAAGGCTTTGGTATGAGCTGGATTTGCAAGTGTGAGTGTAATTTTAGTGTGGAGTTTTGGAGCGTGCCAGGGTGTTGATTGGCGGAAAAGGTAAGGTTGTCGGTATCATGTGACCCTTTCCCTTGATGTGTTCTGCACCACTTGGCCTCCAGGTGTAGTTGCCTTCAAAGCCTTTTACAAATTGACATTTGTCTCTGTAATGGAGTAACACATACACACTCCATCCCTCCCACTGTGATATAATGAACTCCCTCCCTCCCTCTCTCCCTCCCACTGTGGTACAGTGGTGTACCACCACGGGAAGTCTGCTGTGGGAGGTCACTACACCTGTGACGTAAGGCACACTGGCAGTGGAGTCTGGCTGAGGATGGACGACAGCATCGTCAAGTCTGTCCCAGAAGAAGCCGTGTTGAAACAGCCCCAAACGTCCAACAAAGTGGCCTATCTTCTCTTCTACCGCAGGGCAGACTGCGCCAGGACTAGTTAGCTAGCTCACAAATTATTCACAAATATTAATATTGACTAATGTTGTTGTCTATTGTACAGACATGATGCACACGTCTCCATTTGTCACGTCTCAATTTTCATGAATTATTGAAATTTCTAGCGATGGATTCCTACCAGTAGAGCTAACACCTCTTCGCCTTTAAAGATAAAGTGCAAACGTCCATAAATTGAGCGCCTGATGTGTTGTTTAAAAACAAGACCCCCTCTCCCAAAGGAAGGGACTATGAGGTGCTAATGTGTGTTGACATTGATTAGTTATGGCAGCCTTGTGCTGGTGTTAAGTAACATATGTGATGGCTCTTTGGCTCTCGCCTGCGACTCAAAGACCAGATCGTATTATGCAATTTGTAAGAAGACATGAAAGAGTATCTGCAGCATCGACACACATGTACACACACACACACACATAACATACAGAGAGAGTGGGAGTGTGAGAACTGGTGCATTGGTGATCAGACATTATCTGGAGAAAGGTTTATTGTGCCTACCAAAGTGAGAGATGACACACACACACACAGACAGACAACATTAATACACACAGTCGTTGTACATATAAAGAGTGGAGTTAAACGTTGCTTGCGAGCAGCATTCGTTGAACAGAGTTGACAAGCACATCACATTCCCAGCAGGTTCGGAGACGCTGGGCACAGGAGAAACAGCACACGGTGTGTCCGCAGGGACAGAAGGTGGCACCGATTGGGTTCTGCTTGCAGAGCCGACATGTCATGGCGCTGCGCAGTCGTTGCAGCTCGCCTTCCAGTTCCCTGGTACGATGGAGAACGGATGTCGCGTCGAATGAAAAGACACTCTCTCCTGATATCGGGGGCATACCGCTGGACGGGCTGGAGAGGGGTAGACCATCTGCGTGCGGGGTGAAGCAGAGCGGAGTGGGGTGTTGATCGGGGTCTACCTCGGAGTAAACTGGGGGAGGGGAGTTGAGATCCGTGCTACCCCCACTGGCAACAGAGCTCTCGGAGGTGATGTAGGAATCTGAGAGAGCCTGTGACGAGGACGTAGTGTTGTGATGTGTGTACCCCGGCCCCAGTCGAGAGGACATGGCCGTGTACTCTGAACTGTATGTGCTGTTGGTGTCGTCACTGGTCTCTGAGATGGTCTGGCTCGGGTAGGCAGGCATGGAGGCAATCGAGGAGAGGTGAGGGATGGCGAGATGCGGGCGATTGTTGATTACGACGCCGTCTGCGCTGTGGCTGGCCTGTTCGAATGTTGGTAGAGGTGGCATCTGCTGGTAGCAGACATTGGGGCGTACTGGGTGCTGCATCGAGACGGCCCGGGTTAATCTGCTCCCAGGGATTGGAGGCAGCGGATCGTTCTGTGACCTCATTCTACGAGATCTTGAGGAGGCCGACGCTCGCTGTCTGTCCCTGCTCGACTGGTCAGGCGGGTTCAGCTGGCTCCAGACGTGATTCACCACCTCCTTGTGGGTCCGCGTCACGTCGAAATAAAACCTATCGGGGGTCTGGCTCTTTATGTTCCCGAGCAGAGACTTGCAGTAGCCAGCCATCTTCACCACGGAGCTCACTGTGTCTCTCCTGAAGAATGTGTGGAACTCTGTGACGGCTCGATAGAGGGCCTGGGACGCTGCCCTAGAGTTTAGCTCCACCTCAACCTCTTGGGAGCTGTGGGTCTCCGCATGCTTTATGAGCACTTTGAATTTCTTCCCCTGGAAGGCTGTGTACTTGACCGAGGAGTAGCTGTAACTATGAAAGAGAGGGAGAGAGAGAGAGAGGGAGAGAGGGAAAATTAGCGTAATGTTAACTTTTCCAGATTTGGTATAATTACCATTTTCACTCCAAACTTTTACTACAAGCAATTAGTGGGCAATCAGACTATTGTGGATAGGACTGCTGTGCTGTGTGGGAGGACGAGTAGCAAGGTCCACGGGGCGCAAAACAAACTAAAATTTAAGAAATGGAGCTTATCACAATAGTGGGATATATCCCCCACACTCGTCAGACACAAAGTCTGTAACACTCCCAGACTGCCCCTGACCCTCAATCAGTCCGATTAAAGTATGTAGAATCAGGGTTTACCAATAGCAAACAGGTAGACCTATATATACATGTATGAGACCGCTGGCTGGAGGCTGACACGTAGATGCTTTCTGCAATTAGGAGTGCATGTTCGGTATTGCCGTAAATAGGGATAGCTCCTAAAGTAGTCGGGCATCGTGTTGTGTGTGTGTACAGACAAGGTCGACTAGGCAGCCATCTTGGGAACCCAACTGAGCATATCAATACACCCTCCCATCCACTAGTTTGGTAACAGGGGAAGAGAGCCTGCCTCCACTACACACACACAGTACTGCGAGATATCGCATGTCCCACCGTCTCAAATTTGGGGATTAGATGGCTGCTCACTCAACGGAAAAACATGGAATGATTGCAGCAGCAGAAATTTGGCACCTACACAGATGCACACACTCTCTTGTATACTCTTTTCTCTCTTCTATCTTCTTTCCATTTCTCTCTCTCTCTATCTCTCTCCCCTAAACAAACTCTCCCAAGCCAATTCACATTACATTCTCATATATACACGCAGTCTCTATGTGGTGTTTATGGGCAACTGTGTGAATGGAGAGGTTTTGTACACAAACACAGCCATTTCTTGGCATGTCACAGCCCGATGTGGCACCGATGTGGCACCGTAATGCCATACTACCTCCCTAACAAGGACAGTAGGTAAGCTAACTGTATTAAAAGCTGGACCAGTGACTCCCGGGACCTTTTCTAGTATCACTAGCTACCGAAAACAGTCTTTTCACAGAGAATGCCTACATCTCGGTGAACGATAGGTGTTTGATTGAAGAATGAGTCCAGCCCACCAATATTTATCTACAACATCTCTCGGCTGCCAACTCCAGTGTTTTGGCTGATGGGTCTAGATACTTAAACAGTGGCGTCCACATCCCCACGAAATAACACGTCTAGTCTCCTAATACGAGGGTGGTGAGGGCAGGCATCATATGCTGGCCTGGGATGTGATGTCTGCCTGTTCTAATCCTATCCCACTCACTCCACAAACTCACTGTTTAAGAGCCGTCTTGTGAGTGGAGTAGATTGTGATGTACTCCGGTCCTACTCCGATGTACTGCCCTCCGGCGATGGGGTACACCTCCACCCCGTACAGCGGTAACCGGGCAACCTCCCCGAGGAATTTCTCAATGGCAATCTCCGTGGAGAGTCCGACCAATTTCTGATGCTCTCTCTTCAGCCGTGCCTCGAGGTTCTCCGCTGCAGCCTGAACTGTGACCACTGCCAGGTGTCCGTGTTTCTGGCCAGGTTTGTAGTCTCCTAGGTCCACTTGGGCCATTAGGCCACAGATACGGGCTGCTCTAATGGCAGTGTCGACTGGTAGCTGTCCCCGCAGCAGATCTCTCTTTGTCTGCTGGTAGAACTGGTATCTGATATAGAGGGGGGCGGGGTACGCAGGTATAATGATCTTGAGCCACAGGAATTGAGGTTATTTTTACTCCCTGACTGTTCAGTACTGGGGCTTTGCATCACTACCTACCAGCTGCAGTGTGGAGGCACATTGGTATTTCCAGGGCAGTTGGAGTGGGTTGTTAACTAACTGTTCCCAAAGACCTGTGCCTCTGTTTGCCGGACACTACGTGAGGCAATAATGTGGTATCCATCGCCATACCAGTCAGGTGGCTTACTAGACTCTCAGTATGCACCAAGAAGCAGTATAGATGCAAGAGTAACCCAAGTTTGATGTCAACATGGTTTTGACTCAGCGAGAGCGTTAGCAACCGCAGCCACTCAAATTTCTCACGTTGCACTGACATATCTCAGTGTTTTGAGATCACAGGCAGTACACGGACCAGTACACATGTCAAGGAGTGCCCACGTACCTTGTGACTGGCTGCAGGATCTTGTGCGGAGAGATGAAATACTTGACCCTCATCTCCATGACCACGTGGTTTCCCTGGGGGACCTGCTCGGAGAGAGGGTTCCGCAGGTTTGCCCACAGTCTCTCCCCACCCTTGTCCTGGTAGCACAGTCCGAAATACTCCTTCTCTAGCAGTCCCAGAGCCTTGCAGACCTGCAGGGGAAACGTTTCCCAGTGTGAGAGAACTGAAGTGTGTGTTTGTTTTGTCTTCAGCGCTAGCGAGTAAAAAGGAGTCTTGCAACCAAAACTATACTACTGTGTAATAGTCGTAGTTTATTTACTTTACTAAAACAGCTTTAGATTCACAAGGTCGACCATTTACTATGCAGTCGTAGATCGATTCTCGCAACTTACTTTATCGAGACATTCCTGTCCGCGCGCCTTCTTCGGTAGAGTCAGTCGATGATCAGCGTCGTCCAGTCGCCGTACGATGTAGCTCCTGGTCGAGGCCTGCGCCACTCCCTGCACTGGTCTGCACGACATGATCTCCCGCTCCCTGCAGAATTCGCTAACTTTTTTCGTTCCACGCAGACGGTCCGGTAATAAATATACGAGAGCCTTCGCAAACTTCACGCAAGCATGCGCACACGGGCCTACCGGAGATGCGCGACGGAAATTGAAAGGCAATTACTGCGCGATAATTAGCATAATCAAAAATGTTATATGTGAACAACGCTAATTGCTACGTCAGAGCTAAGATCAGGTTTGGCTGGCAATTCAGGTACAACCAGTTTGACAAAAGTTCCTCCAGTCTTCTTCCTAGTGAGGTGACCCGGATTGACACACACACACCCTTCCAGAACCTGCAGGACGGACGAAAACAATGGGAAAGAGAGAGAGATAGTAAAAAAGAGAAAATGAATGAAAAATATAGGAGGTTCCCAAATCCAAGGTCTACTCTCTAGAGGATAGGGAAGCAGTGGCAGCAAAAAACACAGCGAACGGTTTTCTCTGAGACCTTGATGAAGGGCTTGAGGTCAGAGGGTAGCAACAAGAGGTCAGGTCTGGTCGGTAAGGTCGCTCGCCTCTCCTCAAACGCCTGGATGTAGTCCATGTTTACCTCGCACGCCTCGCTGGGTGGGCGGGGCTTGCTGCCTGGCTCCGCCTTAATCTGTGGGTGTGGTTCCTCTCTACGATACGGCGGGACCAGTGGATAGTAGCTGTGTGTGTGTGTGAGAGTTGCCAGTTTCAAAAACTGTGAAAACGTCGGTGTTCTGTTGCCTAACATGCACTCCATTTCAGATACATCGCGGACACACTGTCGCTGAACATGAAACAAGTATATAGCACAACTCACCACTGCTGTTTCAGAATGTGTCCAGCTAGCCGTCCCATTCTGTCTCCTGACGATCTGTGTATGGGTGGATATACCACTGTACTCGGAGACTTCCTTATGGAAAATACATAAGTCCCTGTTGCAGTTTTTAATGTGATCTTGCTATATAGGGGTGAAATAGGCTCAAAGACTTCCTTGCTAGGAGTGAAATAGGCCCAAAGACTTCCTTGCTAGGGGTGAAATAGGCCCAAAGACTTCCTTGGTAGGGGTGAAATAGGCCCAAAGACTTCCTTGCTAGGGGTGAAATCGGCCCAAAGACTTCCTTGCTAGGGGTGAAATAGGCCCAAAGACTTCCTTGCTATATAGTCTTTGAGATGCAAACTGTTTTACATCAGTAGGTTTTGAAGAAAACCATTTTCACACAGACAACAATTTCAGTTACCTTCGCCCACTCGACTTACTGTGAACCATTTTGCACTAAAAGCTTTTTATTCTGTGGAAACCCCTATTTTATACAGCCACACGTATCAACATTCTTGAGACAATCACACAATAGTGGTCCAGGGCCAGAAGGGAAACCTGGTATATAAAAGTCAAACTATGACAATCCCGGCCATGAATGCCAATCAAAGGTTTGCTTACTTCCTCTGCCCTGGCCTCAAATGACGACAAGCAGTGCAGAGGAAATCAGTATTCTCAGAACATGGTGTCTCTGTAACTACAACAAATTGTTCAAACCCCCACGTTGTCTCTCTGTAGATGTATGTATTAGTTTGCGCGCCCGAGGGCCGAGTGATTTATTCCGGCAACGTACCTCACGGACATGACACAAGTAATTTATGTTGTCATGACCGCGTTGCTACGGATAATGGCGCAAACATTCTTGTTTGTCTTGACCTAAAAACACTCATAGGAAGTTTATAAAGCCCTCGCTGCGGGTATTAAATAACTGTTAACATTGCCTCCAGGAGCTACAGTTCCTTATCTATGGTCTTCAGGAGAATAAGTGACTTCAGAGTTACCTAACTAGATATAGCCAGCGTATGAAAGAAGGAACATTACACCAAAAGATTGCCTTTTTAAACAAAAGAACCCCATTAATTAGAATGACTGTTGGAGTAACCAGTAGTTTTGCTCACGACATAGCGGAAGAAGGCTCACCCAAGGAACATGGTGCGAGCTGACAGATGGAAGAGGATGTCAGTGGATGTGGCTCCGATACAGACTCCATTAACACTCAGAGTACAGGGGTCAGGGAGGAGCAGGACACGCCCTCTGTCCTATGTGAGAGACAGCAATACATCCAAACATGGCACCGTAGTGGGAGGTACATTGTCACACATTTTTCGTATAATCCACACCCTGAAATGAGTCATTTTATGCAGGGCACATGCAAATAGTTTTGTGCCACTAATGGGAGAGCTTTTACTAATGAAAATATTCATAGAGATAGGGGTGGAATGGAATGAGACCTGTCTGGTGGTGTTGGTCTGGAATGGAGGTTGAGGATAGACCTCGAACGGATGGTGAGCATCTCTCTGAGATGGCATCAGTAGCAGCTGGGTTCTCTGACTAGAGGGAGGGGTGGAGAGGGAAGAGAACATGTATTATCCACCGACAAGGGAGGTATATATGAGGATGATGTATATACCTACTGACACAGTCAACCAGAGGCTGCAATATCCTGTGGCTGAAGAACTGCTGTAGAGTCATGTCCTCCGGCAGACTTCCTGTCTGGAGAACAAGGTCACATGACAATCATGTGATGCCACCATCCAAACCTTGACAACACTGTTGTTGACATCAACAAAAGGCCCCATCTGGAAGAAATTAACAGTGAACTAAAACTTGATGATGTAATGTTGAGTCATCACCAGGAGAAGGATGTCTGGCCCCTCCCTCTTCACCATGGCGATGATGTCATTGAGAGGAGTGGTATCCAGTGAGTCAGAGGTGGAGAATGGACCAGCTGCTACCACTGCTGAGAACCCTGGGGACACCAACCATACAGTATATATAGTGTGGGTTATGAGAGAGAAAACCTCCACACAACATTAATTTATTAACTGCCCACGAACATTAAGTTTGTAAGTGGGGACAATTGTATTGCAATCCACGAAAGCTTTCTTCGTGAAATTCACTCAAATGTGCAAGTATGTACAGTAGGAAAGAGGAGGTATTAGGTATCGTGTGTGGGTGGGTGTCAATTTACCTCCAATAGTGTCCTGTGGCCTCTTGGGCAGAGGAGGGTACATTCCCTGTGTGTGTGTGTGTGTGTGTGTGTGTGTGTGCACGTGTGTGTGTGTGTTGTGTGTGTGTCACTGTGTGTGTGTGTGTCTGTGTGTTAGGAAGGCGATCAGAGGATGGGGAAAGTTTTGAAAATGATTGGGAGAATCGGATACAGAACATGAGTGAGTGAGAGAGAAAGGCGGGAACATATTGTCGGCACTACTCTGTCTCTTGTCGGATATCTCTTGGTACAACCTCAGAACAAGTGTGTTAGTGGATATTCACCTGGTCATAGATGGTAGTTGGGACCAGAGTCCCACTGAAAGTGTTGACTCCTTCCACAGCCACAACCTGAGGAATGAGCAAGGAATGTGAGAGAGAAAGCAGGAGATGAGAAAGAGATAGAGATAGCTCACCTGTCCGGGGAAGAGGGAGTAGGGTCCAGAGGAGCCAGGTATCTCCAGCCTCACGCGATGAGAGAGAAGAGTGCCGGGTTGCAGAGCCCCCTCCAGGAGGACGGAGCTAGAGTTGAGGTGTCCTTCCCCATCGCACACCACGCGACCCACGTACACCGCTGGCTCCAGGGACGGCTGGGAGAGTGGGAGGGGCTCCGGGAGCCCGTGGGTGTGGCAGATAGCTCTGCCTAGTTCCTCCGCCCACTCTAGCAGAGCTGCACACACGTAATATACAAATGCGATGAGTCATTCAGGCTTCTTGATGTCAAAAAGTTGGTGATTCTCGCCGGATTATGAAACACATGTGCAGTCATACCGAGAGCCTTGTCAGAGATCTTCTGGAAGACATGATGATAGGGGGCCGTGAGTGCAAGGTTCGAGTCATAGTGCCCCACTTTCACCTCTCCTCTTCTGCCTCGCCCGCGGGACAAGGGGACGTCCCTCTCGTTAAGACTACAAGCCACGGCTCCAGAGTTCTTCCGCTGGGCGTATGACCCAGCCGGTGTGCTAGGGGTTAATCTGTAGGAACAGGACACAGTTTAGGACAGGGTTTCTGGTGTCGTGAAATGACTCCCACCCATTGTGTCCTGAGTTGTCGACAGTGTGTCTCCGTGACGACAGAGGTGTGGTGGGCGTGGCTCCATTCTCCATCACCCTTACCTTGTGGGTGGAGCTAGGAGGTGTGGTCTCTTCAACTGACCTTTTGACCCCACATTGCATTTGAGTTGAGAAATCCTCGTCACCAAGAGCTCCGTACTGACCAATCAGATCGTCTTCAAACCTGTACATGTGGCAATACGTCAGATGACCTTTGAACCCAACCTGCTGGTTCGCTCACAGTTCGGCAATGTCGTTCTTTGTGTAAACTTTCCTCTCTGACAGCTGCCCATGCTTCTTCCCCACTCCCCCCTTCTTGCTGGCCGCCAGCTTGATGCTCCACTCGTCACATGACCCCTCTGTCAGCTCACGTGATCCGTTGGCGGCGTAAGCCACCCAGTGTTCTGAGAGCTCGTCTGCAGTCAGGCCGTATTGGACGGCCAGGTCTCGCACTGCGAGCGAGGAGTGCGCGTTTACTTCTCGACGGGTTTGGCCCCGTGCCACTTACAGCGGTCCACCAGTGAAGAGCCGCTCTCCAGTACTATCTGGAACACTTCGAACGCCGTGATCAGCTCTTCCTCCATTTTCCCGCCAACTTCCCGCCAAACCGCCGCGTTCCACGCATGCGCAAACCAAAAATAGAAACGTAAAGTATGATGGCAAGAGAGAGCCATTGTCAGTAATGTCAGCGTAAATAATGGTATAAAAATATAACACTCGATACATTTGTGATAAAGATGCAATGGTGGAGGCTGCCAGCAGATGGATGATAATACACACTATTATAATATAGCAGACATGTAAACTATGACAATCGTCATAGAAACAACATAGAGAGGGAGAGAGAAGGTTGTCCTGAGAGACTGAAGTGGTATATAATAATGATAATATAACTGTTGTGAGATGAAGGGTCAGCTGCCATCATCATCTTCCCTGGGCCTCCAATACCTTCTCTATTTCAGCCAGCTCCTCCGGTCTGCCTATTGTCCTGCGAACTGCAGGGAAGAGAGACAGAGGTACAGTTGTGTCTCCTGCTGTGAGAGGTTCACTCACTGATCTTCTTCTTGGCTTTCCCACCCTTCCTCCGAGCCTTGACACCATCTTTAACCCTCCTCTTCTCGTCATTGACGACGGCATTGGCCAGCTGGGCCACCAGATCCGACTCGGGAGTGTCTGTTTCCTCTGTCCCTTGTTTCCTCGACGACTTCTTGTCCCCCTTACCTGCCACGTCCTTTAGCTTATTCTGTGATTCAGAGGGAGACAGGAAGATGGTGAGAGGGTTCCTCCTGACCAAAGGAACTCACAATGAATTTTCCCTTCGTCTTGTTGCGGTCCTTCTCCTGTTTCTTCCTCTCGTTCTTTGCCACGACTTTTCCAAAGGTCGTCCGATACTCGAGAGCAAAATTAGACAACAGCAGACAAAAGGCGTCAACCTGAGGTATGTACCATGACGACGTAATATGACATCATCAGTGGGTGGAGCATACAGTGTACGTACCCGTGTTGACTCGACCTGTGAACTGTTCATACCCATGTAGAGACACAGTTTGATATATCTGTTCACGACTCTCCGATGGACCACCTGCAGTACCTGCCACACACACACACACACACACACACACAGACAGAGAGATAATAAGAAGAGTGATGTAATGAAAGGTGGGAGTGACGGTTTTGCTCACTTTGAGTTTCTGAGCAGCCTCTGTCAGCGACTGTGCACACTTCATCTTCTTCTCCATGGAGGTGGTGTCGGTCGAGGTCTCGTGCTTGGCGATGGCTCTCAGGTACTCCCAGCTCTGAGTCAAGTCTGTCTGCAGCTTATCCAGGCCTGTCGTCTGCTCTCCCCAGTCCATCTGTAGAGAGAGGGGGGAGATGGTTCACGTACTGATTATTTTGACATACAGACCCAGGACAAAAACAAACTCAGGGATTTTGGCTCATACTAAAGCCATGATCAGTAATAATAATATCAATCTGATGTGATGATGTACTGAGTAAGGCCGACCTTGCTGACGCGGTGAACGTGGGAGATCTCAGAGTAGAGGTCGGTGCCATCAGGGAACTGCTGTACCATCAGCTCCACCACGTGGAGCAGGAGAGGAGCTCTGTGGACTGTGTCCTTCACATCAGGCACGCGACTTAAGTACTCCAGGTTGAATGCCTCCGACTGTGGGAGAGAGGTTTTTGAATATGGAACCTCCGACTGGTTTACTTTGAACATGCATTGAAGCAAGCCTATTTGACATTGCCAACCAGCAACTAAAAGACAGGTCACAGAGGTAGAGAGATCACCTGCGTCCCATTGAGGAAGTTTCCAATGGAGAGGAGAGTTCCCAACACCCGTTTCAGAGTCTTGCTGTGGTACACTTCCTCAATGGCCTGCTTCACTTCCATCAGAGCATCTCCCAGCTCCTACACAGCCAAACACAGACACTCATTCCTCCATTACATCATGCCTTAATTTCCTATCCCATGCCCACATTCTTCCATTCCTTCATCCCCCCATTCCTTCATAGTTCCATTCCCCCATCCCATACCTTTATATTCTCTCATTCTCCCATTCCCCTGTTCCCATACCTCTTCAGCTTGTTGGAACTGGAAGTTGAATCTCCACAGACTGAGTCTGGCCTTCAGCTCTGGGATGGTGGTCAGAGTGTAGAGGAACTCCTCGGCAGGGCCGAGAGGCACGTCTGGCTGCGAGGCTCGGGCCTCTGTGATCTGGGTCCTCTCATCGTCCGTCGGCATCAGCTTTGTCAGCAGTTTCTCCACCATCTCCCGTGTGAAGTAGGCGTGGTCCATGCTGAGTACGGCGGTCTTGATGTGCCGGGCTGCGGGGAACCTCTTTATCTCGATGAGAATGTTGTTGGCTCTCCGCTGGTCCAGAACAACCACCGTCTTGCTCTTCTCCACGTGTGTCTAAACATGTGATGAAACAGAGGAAGAAAGGAGAGAGATATCTTACATATAACAGTGTGGGGTTTGTGCAGTGACTACGGTGCCTAACAACAATATCATGTGTTCATGTGCTTGTCGTGCTGCCTTGTGCTGTAGTGTCTGGTGTCAGATTCAACAGAAACTCATGTAAACTTCTCAAAAACAGATTCTGTACTTACATGTTTACATTTCCTACCCAAAATGCCATGTATGGGTTCCAGTGGAACAACTTACGTCCATCTTCTTTGACGACTCTTTTTCTCTCTGCTGGAAGAGATGGGTGAACGTCTCCTTGGGGACCTCCACCTTGGGCAGGTCTTTCCAGATAGCTCCTCCACATCTCTGCATGTTCATGGGGAGGAGACGCTGCTGTCGCCAGTTGAGTTTCTTGAGGTTCACTCGTGGGGTCGCTGAAGCAGTATTGGGCCCCCCCGGAGGAGGGGGAGGGGGAGGAACACCTCCGGGTAGACTGGGTGGAGGGGGAGGAGCTCCGGGCGGGGGTGGGGGTCCAGGAGGAGGAGGCGGAGCACCGGGCGGAGCAGGAGGTGGGGGTGGAGCACCGGGAGGAGGGGGCGGAGCACCTGGGGGACCAGGGGGAGGAGGGGGAACACCAGCGACCACTGGAGCTGGAGGAGCTTTCAATAAATCTTCTTCATCGGCATCTGTGAGGTCTGTGAAGTCCAGTCCGTTCACCTTGAGGTCCCTAGAGAGAGACACACTCAACTCAACATACAGGCAATACAGAGAGATGAGCCCTGACCCCAGAGGAATGTCGGTAGGAGCATAAGCCCACTCCAGTTCAGGTCGGTGGTTCTCCATCAGAGTCTCTCCGGTCGGCGTTGCCTGTGTTTCCCTCACCTCCTCCTCTTCCACGGCACCTCCGGGGAGCTGGCTGCGAGACAGCTGCCCCACGCGAGGAGAGGTTGGGTCTCCAATGACAACCTCCTCCTCCATCATGGCGTACATCTTCTTAGCCCGCTGCGCCACGCGACTCTGACCAGTTTTCTTGCTCTGCAGAGCCTGTTGCAGTGCAGACGGTTCCTCTGAGCCCTGTGAGTGAAGAAAGAGGTGATAATACACCAGTGATAAGGCACACACTCTACATGCGGGCATTGTTCACTTGTACAGTCTCAGACAATGGTGACAATACAGGCACTACCACACAGAGCCACGCTGACACACGACAGCCTCACAAGTGACTCCTCACCTCAGGATCTTCCTCAGTGCTGCTGCTGGTCCTCGCAGCCTTCACTCCAAAGCCGGCAGACGTCTCTGCGAGAGGGCTGACGGGATTAGTCTCCTTCTGTTCCGGCCCCTGACCCTTTGTCTGATCCTCGAAGGTATCCTCAAAGAACTGAGAGCGTCGGTTGTGATAAAACATCCCGAGAGCCTTCCCGGCATTTATGTTCCCCTTCAGTTTGCCCCAGTTGGCCCCTGACCTGCGGTAGTCTTCTTTGCTCATGGAACCGGATCGCCGAATCTCGTTCTTCCTGTCCACAGCTCTCATGACCACCTCACTTCCCTCACTGGCCGTGGGTAGCTCAGTGGATGGTACAGCCAGACTGCTCATCTCCGGGACTGCTTTCTGGGAGGCCTGTTTCGCCTTTGACTTGAGTGCAGGGGACGAGGTCGTGTCAATAGCTGACGATCTCTGTCGCGATGCCCGAGTCTCATCTCTCAACCCGGCTCTGCGCGGAGAGGCAGTTCCGTTGCTCAGCCTCGAGGGAGACGGAGTTTTCTCGTCCTCTGACTCAAATGTCCGGGCCATGATCTCGTCCAGAATGGAGGAAGTGTCCAGGACAATGTTTCCATCCTCAGTGAGACTGTCTCTCTTGTCCATGCCGCCCCCCGACCTCCTCTGGCTCGGCGAGGTCGACAACTCCTCAGAGTTTTTACGACTGCTACGGAATGTTCCGGAGTTGCGGTGAGTCCGAGACCGCGAGGAGCAGAGGGAAATGCCGCTCAGACCATTGGCAGTGTCTGGTTTCTCTTCCTTAATTGTGGTTTTGGCCAGTGGAGACTCTGCAGGCAGAGCATAGTGCCATCTGTACTTCAACATCCTCAACTACTGCACTAGGATACTGTCTACAGCACAGCTAGAGCTAGCGACTGACTACAACTGCACTCGTAAACACGAGATCTGTAACTAAATAGAGCTGCTGCTAGCAGAGTCTGAAATAGAGTTAGTCACTGTGGCAATAGGCAGTTCACATCCCAGTTTAGCCACAGAGACAGTGTACAGCGCGTCCGGCCAGCCTCGAGTGCCAGCCAAGGTACAAAAATGGCCCCACACAACTAACTAAACAGCATTAGCCAACAGAGTGTGCTTATAAACAGAGTGCCAACAGGCAGGGGGCGTAAAGGTCTGTATCTAGGGCTGTACATGTCGTCCATTCAACTCTGACTGAGCCCAAGAATACTGATACAAACACACATTTGTCGGGACAGCTCTGAGCATAATGGAAAGACCTGTATATACCAGACTCTCTTTCTCTCTATCGCGACTTCTACGTCCCTATTTCCCTCTCACCTTGTTTCTTCAGCCTCGTCTGGCTGGGAGGTTCAGCGCTGGAAGAGCGAGCTATGGAACCGGGGAGAGAGCCCTTCCTCTCAGGACTCCTGCTGCCTGGTGTGGAGGAGGCCAGCGGTGCCAGTCTGTCGGCCAGGTCTTTGGAACTGATGGTGTCTGTTTAGAGAGTAAGAGAGAGAGAGAGAGAGAGGAGGGGGGAGTAAGGGTAGGCAAAAAGAGGCGAGTGCTATATACAGACTCACTGAATTTCGACTGGTCAAACGAGTTATCTCTGCTGTGTCGCTGCTCTGTATGGAAAGATAGTTAGGGTGGAGTGGTGAAGAGAGTGTCAAGGGAGTAGTGGTGATGAGGACAGACTCACTTCGTGGACTGGACTCTGTGGAGGAACCATCTCCAACCATTGAGAGCAGAGACGAAATGTCGCTGACTGACAGCTTCGGTCCATGAGCACTGGCTGACCTCCTGAGAATGTGGAGAAGAGAGGTGGAAAAAATGAGAGAGATGAACATTTCAGAAACTCCTCAGGACTGACTTTGGAGTTCCAGTGCTGCTGGAGAGTTGGAGTGAAGGATTCCTCACTCGGCGGACCCGCCTCTGTCCACTCCTGGGGGTGAGATGACGGACCACTCAGTGGAGTAACACTGGAGTACTTGGAGTAACATACCCCGGGGTGCCAGGCGGTGGGTCTTCGTACTCCACAATGTACACCTGACTTATCATATCCTGCAAGTGAGAGAGAAATCTTCACTGCAGGTTGCTAGTGTGACCACACCCACTGACCTCGTAGACTTTAAACTCCTTGAGCAGATCCTGATTCCTTCTCTTCTTCTGGTGGAACTGCAAGAAACGCACAATCAGTAAGTCAGCACCATTCAAGACCCAAATTTCTTTGCAAGTTATATGCACACCCACTTTACCCCATCTTTTACCACCAACAACTTCTTGATTGCGTGAAAATACACGCACTTGAAATGTCACAATACAATACTGAGAGCAGCAGAATCAGAAAGGGGTGTGGTCTACTCACATCCATCATCTGCTCCAGTTTCTGTTCCTCCAGAGAATCGACCACGTCATAGAAATCATCCTCACTCGATATTCCTGCCAGCGTCTGTTGCAGAGATAGAGAGATATGCATGATTGTGTATAGGAGGCGTGACCGTAGCAAATATAGTATATACCTTGTTGATGAGGCTGAGAGCCTTGCTCTGGACGTCAGGGTCAGCGATGGAGGTCTCTGAGATGATCTCCAGCAGATAGCTCCATGGCTGGACAGAGTGGTCCTCCGCTACTATCTCAACTGCATCCTTGAACAGGAGAGCTGTGGAGGGTAGTCCGTTGGGGGAGTAGGACCCAGCTGATGAGGGAGGAGGGAGAGGAGGGAAGGGGTTAATTTAGACCTGCGGAATCTTCACCCCCCGGTGTACACATGTTTGTGTGGAACTTGTATGTTCAGACGAATGAAGGATGTATGTACATGACTTACCTGACCCAGATGGTGATCCTGAGCCAACTGGGAGGTTGGGTGTGGCTTGGCCTGAATTAGTCTCCGAATAGTCAACAAACACAATCAGTAGATCCAGCGTCGCCTTCACCACCGCTCGGTACTGGAGAACAACACAACACACCTCTCTGTTTAACCCTCTTCCCACTGTGTGTATGTGTACCTTGGACCTGGTGAGCTCATACAGCCACTGGACGATGTCATTACACTGGATGAGTCCGTGCATTCCATCAACGTACAGCACCAGTTCTCCGAGAGCCTTGAGAATGTACTGTTGGTAGGTCTGGTCGCTGTCCTGCCCGACCTGCCGCACCAGACACTCCACTCAACACACACACAGTGTTATATAGTGGACATGCGTACCTGGACCAGAGCGTTCAATCCCTGGTTGAACACAAACTCCAGGACCAGGTCTGCGTCGTTCTGAAAGTGAAAACAAGTGACGTATGACTAGACGCTCTAGCAGATGAGCTGGCTGTAATTCAGTGGCACAATCACATCTAGCACAATCACATCTAGGACATTGTTAACTGGATCAGGTAGTCCTGTCAAAGGAGAGGCCTGGCTGGGGCACTAGACCACAGTCCTAATGGGACAATCCTCTTTGGCCGCCCTCAAACTAACACAGACTATGGTGGATTAGTGATGTGCTTGGCAGGGGCTCTGTTTACTGACTTGGAATATCCTTTTGAGAGCAAAGAGTGCTTGTCTCAGCTGTGTCCCAGTTGCACTCAGCAGGGTTTCTGAAAGAGAGAGAGGCAGAAAGATCCAATGATGCTGTGGTTGTCTTTCTGCCACTCACCAATTACAGTGTGGACTCTGACTGACAACTTGGTCCTCAATATTATCACACTCGATCTGTAACGACATCGTCATTACGTAATTACTCAATATACACAGCAGTAATGCCCAAAGCCCGTTTCTCCCCCACCGACGACCCCACATCAAAGACACGGAGCTGCAGTCTATGATTAGGTCTTGCTCTGTCTTGCCAATACATGCCACATGCACGCCAGGTATGCACTATACTACATACAGCCCTCTCATTACATGGTACCATGGTATATAAGTCCCCCTAGTGAGGTAGTGTATATGGCAGTAGTTCCTGGTATCAACACTGAAGTGCTCGAGAGCAGCCTTATATATATATAAACTCATAGTTAAAGCAAAGGACCCTCAATGGAACTGAGGGAGACCCGGGAAGTTGCTAGGTTCTCCCACAGACCTGGTGTCAACAATCCCAGTCTGCCAGAAACACACTGGGTATGCAGCTAATAGCCAACGCTCCTGGAAGACTAAGACATCTCCCTGAGACAACTGTTGCTACAAAAACTTCCTTTGGGAATAGGTATAGCCCCTCAGCGAGGGAGAGGGGGAGAAAGAGCCTGTTTACAGTTCCTTGTTCTACTCCTTACACACCCCGTGCTAGTACTAGCAGAGCAGTCTGGGATGGCCACCTCAGCGAGGGAGAGGGGGAGAAATAGCCTGTTTACAGTTCCTTGTTCCACTCCTTACACACCCCGTGCTAGTACTAGCAGAGCAGTCTGAACTAACATGGTGAAAACTGGCATTACACACCCCGTGCTAGTACTAGCAGAGCAGTCTGGGATGGCCACCTCAGCGAGGGAGAGGGGGAGAAAGAGCCTGTTTACAGTTCCTTGTTCTACTCCTTACACACCCTGTGCTAGTACTAGCAGAGCAGTCTGAACTAACATGGTGAAAACTGACAGATGATGGAGAGGGGAGTACATGAGGGGGAAATGTGACCTGATATGGAAGTAAAGTTGGAGAAGCTGAGGCACATGACTAGGAAATGACACTCATTATTTCACATCCCTAGCTGTCTGATAGTGAGTCATGTGTAATACTCCTCTCTTAGAATTGTGTGCCCTCTGCATTACACTGTCTCTGACTCTCTGATTGTTTGGTGTATGAAGCCAGTGGAGGTGAGTGGGGAAGACTAATGGCGAACATGGAGAGGGAGTCAGGGAGGTGAAACAGGATTAGTGGGAGGAGGATGGGCAGGTAATGGAGGGCCGCGCACGCAGCAGGGGAAGACGACTCACTAACCTGTCACAGACGAGGTTGTAGTCCACCATTAGCTCCTCCATGTCTCCATCGAGGTCGAGGTACTTCTGTTCGTTGTCGTCCGGTCTGTGATACACCAGCGCTATTTCTTCAATCTGTGAGGAAAAAGAGGGGGGAGGGGAGGGGGGAAGTTTAGTTGTACTGTGGTACGAGTTGCAACCAGTAAACACTCGGGCTGTGCCAGTGAGCCAAGATTATGACGTGCTCCTCCTAAGAAGGTTAGCAGCCGTTGTGATGGACCATACTCGATCCGAACCAAGGAAACGCCGCCGCCTTATCACTAACCCGATCTGGCCAGGGAACATGTAAACAATAGCAACCGGCGGAGGGTTCCTACGGCAACTGCCCAGTCACACATCTACCCCCCAGACACATCATCCATCTCCAACACTACTCTATATAAGCAACGTTCGTGGGCCACACAAACAATCACATTTCAGTTTGGCATGTGGCTATGGTCACACTCAACTAGTAATATTTCTGGCAGGGAACTCAAACACTTTGTGAGGAACGGCATATCAGAGGGAAGGTTTTTGCTGGAAATGAAGCGAGGAGAGAGAAGAGGGTGCTGGCTAAGAGTGTGATCATTATGCCCACAATCAGCAACTACACTACCAAGAAATTAGAGCAGTTTGCAAACAATGGACACCAGAGGGCTTCCTAACATAGCCTGGTACCTCAGCGCCCTGTGCCTCCCTTTCTCCAAATGTGGGCGGGTGGGGGGAAGCCATGGGGGGTAATATAGTTGCTTGCCCATGTGGCATATTGTGAAGTGCAGGACAAGATGTAAACACTGTAAGTTTGTCGTGTTACGGTGCGTGCACTAGGTGGCACTGTCTGTAAGAAACTACAGGAGAATGTGGAGGTTTTGAGTGTGAGAGTGTCACAGTAGCTGGCTATCAGGTGGCTGACAACATACTGCACACTCTGTCATGGTCACTGGGCCATCGCACATGCCACTGCCTCACTCCACACACACACACACACTGCATGAGGTGTCAACATCCACTACATGTACATGACTTCCTGAGGCATTCTATTACTGGGCATTCCTCAGCAGAGGCCATGTGAAGTATGCCATTCAGAGGTGCACATATTGCACCCACCACAATGCCTTTACTATAGTCAGTGAGGGAATGGTCCCAAAGAGAGAGAAGAAGGTGTGTGAAACAGGGGAGTTTGTGTCAATACAGAAGCCACACTCTCTGTGCCAGGAGCCACAGACATATCACAAGGCAGAAACCTCTGTTGAGGAGAGGTTGTTCTTAGAAGTGAAAGTTCCAGAATGTATATAGGGAGCAGGGATACAAAAGGTCATTCGAGGCATTTGCTAGGTAACTAGAGAGGCACTTTCTGCCTACACTGCAGCTGCAATGGCTCATAGAGCACGCCGGTGAGTGTTCTGTAGGGACGTGTACTGATGCATTGAGCAATTAGTAGCAGCAATTGAGTCAGAAGTAAGCCAGGCAGTGTGGCATGGAGGAGGAATGACAGCCTTACATTACAGAGAAGAAGGCCTGCCAGAACTCACTGTACTCTGCCATGGCCCGCCTCTGATGGTGCACTTAGCCCGCATACCTCTCCAGAAAAACAAACAAGTTCAGCTAGCGAGCTCCTCCAGGCTATGTTGTATATACGAGTAGTACGAGATGGACGCATGGCTGGTCTCGTAAAATATGTAAACCGCAACATGAAGCCATGCGTCAGCTCACGCAAGAAGACTAAACTCAGCTAGCACCTCCGCAACTCTAGCGAGAATAGCACGCATTCTCTCTCTCCCCTCTCTCCCTCCTCTCATCCGAACACGAACCTTGTGCGGCGCCCGCAGGTGTTTCTTCAGACCAGGTATCTGGTCGCACAGAGGAACCGCGCCGGCAAACTTGTACTTTTTCGGCACAGTCGGCTCGGCGTGCTTGAGGCTCGCCAGCACGTTGAACGGATCCACATCGTCCACGAACTGCACGCGAAACTCGTACGACATCCCGTCCTCTCCACTGATCATCTGTTTCACACTTAGCCAGTGCTAAGAGGAGGATTCGTTGGGCGTCCTTCGCCTCCACTGACCGTCTGTGGAAAAGTAGTTACAAAGGTTCGTCTTCTCGACCTCAGTAAGATGATAATGCCTGCATCAGCGCGTGTAGTCGCCAGGGGATATAAAACCAATTTGCATGTTCCCAGGTATGCGCTCCTGAATATTACACTGACCGCAATCTCCGGCACACGTGGCCGGGTTTGAAGGTCGCAAGTTTCATGGCTCTTCAGACTTCAGCGTTCTCCACAGACGGCTCTGAGGCCATTTCCCGCCAAATTAGCGCTGTTCCCCACAGCTCAGTAGGGAAGAACCTACGGGAATACTATGAGATCGACAGATGTCTTCGTTTCATTGCTTCTTTCAGGAAAGTAAGCCCCAAACGCAGTGTAGTCACGTGATGTTGCGGGTCTCCCCCAGGTAGCTCTGCAGTTCCCAGACCAGCTGTTGTGTGACTCTGTTGCCGTGACAACCATCCTGGCTGGGGAGAGTGGCAGAGAATGTGTTATTCTTGGAGACACCTCTTACGGGAGGTGACCAACTTCTCCCTCCCCTCTCCCACTCCCCCTCTCCACTATTCCCTGTCTGTAGTTGTTGTGTGGATGAGGTAGCAGCAAGTCACGTGGATGCAGATTGCATCATTCATTTCGGTCCCTCGTGCCTCACTCAGTGGGTCAGCCCCTGATTCTATTACCTCGTCATCTCTCTCTATTCACTGGCAGGACAGAGAGACTACCAGTTCTCTATGTATTTGGTAGAGAGGAAGTGAAGATGGAGGAATGCGAGAGGGCCTTCAGGGAGCTGTTCCCTGACCCCATGACCTCTGTCCTCATTCTCTACGACACTGTCTACCATCACTGCATCGGTATGCAAAACTAGGCTTTTGGTATGTGTATACATTGGACCAGTAAAATTTTTGATAAAGCACAAAGTTTTTGTCTGAGAATTTTCAATGTGGATTTGTGTTGTTTTTCTTCAGCTGAGCTGATGGAAAGATTGTCAGACTATGTTGACTGCACTCCCTCCCTCCTCTCCCTCCCTCACCCCATCACACCCTCACCCTCCACCGAAGCCACACCCACACAAGACAGCTGCATAGCTTCAGACGGTGACCAACTGAGGGACTCAGATACCAAATCTTCTGATCTAATTAATGCCCCCTCTCCCTCAGTGAGTATAGTTCGTTGTATGCAGAGGTTAAAATTATTACTTGGGATTGGACATGCTGCCAATGATGCATTCTTTTTCATCTCCTAGGCAACGGAAGTGCCGGGCCCTGGTAGCTATAACAGGTAGGCAGGTAATTGTAGACAGGGTGTGTTGTTGCCAACGTCAGCAGTCGGCCCGGCCAACTCATCAATCAGGTTTGGCCGCTCGTTCAAACTGGACAAACCAGTTACAGACGTGAGGATGTTCTACATTGGCCGGGAGGGGCGGACCCTAACTAATCTGCTCATCAGCTACAGCAGAAGCCAGGTAAGACGACAACCTGCTGGGAGTTTGGTGGAGACACTCCAACAAGTCAGAGGCTGACTGACATGTAGTGTTCTCCTCTCACTAACTTGGAGAGTTGATTATTGTGCCGTCAGTTCTACAGCTATGACCCAGAGAGTGGGGAGAGGAGGAGAGAGAGCTCTGCCGTTAACAAGGCTCTAGGGAAAAGGTGGCATAATTCCAGTGATGTAATGATGATGTAATGTGGTTTGCGGTGCAGGTATTACCTGGTGCAGAAGGCGAAGGAGGCCAGGACAGTGGGTATATTAGTCGGGACTCTTGGAGCAGGTGAGACACAGGAAGATTACATCTAGATTTGCAGGAGAATCTTTTAATGGCCATAGAACCTCTGCCAAGGAAGTTTCATGTCTCCCTAAAGTCTTCAAATTTAAAACGTGTGCTTGAGAATACAGTTACGCTGTATGTGTGTATGTAGCTGGGAGTATGGAGGTGATGCAGAGACTCAAGTCACTACTGAGGCAGGCTGGGAAGAAGGTCAGTCATCAGTGACAGAGTCCGTGAGGTGTGAACTGTACGTACGCTCACTGCAGTACTACACCGTGGCAGTCGGGAAACTGAATGTTGCAAAGATGGCCAATTTCATGGAGATCGATGTGTTTGTTCTGGTGGCTTGTCCAAGAACAGCCTCGTGGAGTCTCAGGTAACACTCACACTGTGTACCAGGGAACTCTGAGAATCGATTATTCCACAGGAGTTCTACAGACCTGTAGTCACTCCGTTTGAGATGGAGGTGGCCTGTCTCAGGTGATGTGGTCCGTGCATCATGTGACTGTCATGTGACATTTGGTACAGGACTAGGGAGTGGAGTGGTGAGGTCATCACTGACTATAGAGAGCTCTTCTCACTGCCAGTTCTGGAGGACAGACCAACTGAGGTCAGATAGGAAAGGAGTGGGTAGTAGGTCATCCATTATTACTCACCATCAAACCCTCACAAATGGTTTCTCTGACATCAAATTCATCATTCATCGAAAGAATCTTCGTCGTATGTGTGTTAGGATGAGGAGGAGGAGCCAGAGTTCTCACTGATCAGTGGAGGTCTCCTACCATCAAGACATCCCCGTGACTCAGGTCTGTACTCATGTCTGCCGAGTCTTCAAATGTATGACTGTACCAAGTGAACATGACTGGGCCACACTGCTGGGTCTCTGCTGCACTAATGCTACTGTCGATGTACCACAGAGAGAGAGGGAGAGGAGGGAGCCGTTGCTCTGAGAGCCAGTATGGATGTGGCTCTACCCAACTCAACAGGTATATACCATTCTGTAGGTAGACATAGACTATCCATCTCCATGGTAATTACAGGGGCTGAGTTCCTGAGAGGGCGTGGCTGGAAAGGTCTGGAGAGGAGACTGGGAGAAGGGGGTGTGGCTACTGCTAATGAGGGAAGGAGGGGTGTGGCCTCAGCTTATTCTCATGAAAACTACACACAACAGATAAAGGCAGAATTTAGTAACAGTGTTACACAGTTGTAGGATAAGTAAAGAGCTGTTTCTGTTGGTATATTGCACTGGAGAAGTTCGTTATTTTTGTTGCCAAGAAACTTCGTGTAAAAACGCCGTAAGTTGTAGCTCGTTTTCTGAAGCCATAGAGTAAAGCAATAGCGGCCATTTACCAAATACATGCATTGGATTTTACCTCATTATGTTCAAGAGCTTTTGTTTTATTGTACATATTATTATAATTGTTGTATGCACACCTCAGTGGGCGTTTTTCTTGGTATGGCACAACAATCGCAAACTCTCTATTATTTCTGATTGCATCATAATTATTGCTATAGCATTATTATCGTGTAAATGTCATGTATTTATGAACAGAAGTTACTATCTGAAATGGCCAAAACACGAGGGGGCACTAAATAGAGTCAGTTACAAAGGGTTAAGGACTATGAGCTGTCGGCGTCCACTGTTCGTGAGTGGATCGGTTGCGAGGTGACAACTTTGGACTGGCCGTAGGAGAAGCCCCGCCACTCCCGGGCGGAGACCGAGACCCAGACCTGCGGGGGGCAGGCTGCAAGCCGCCATCTTCGTCATAGTCCTCCTTCTCCTCATGAAGAGGCGGGAAAGATTGCTCTCTCTTCATCTGCTGTGCGGAGGATTGCTGCCGAATGAGGTTGGGAAGAGCAGGACCACTGCCATAGAGGTCCATGCTGCTCTCAGACGAGGTGTTGGTTGTGTGACTCACTGGGTTGGACGAGGCGCCTGGTGACTCCCCAACACTACTACTACTGGCCTCTAGGGCGATTTCAGAGTCTCTGAGACCTTTGGGCCCACTCTCCCGGAGACTAATGGAGACAAGGCTTCCCCCACCTCCAGGGCTGTTGAGGTCTGACATAAAACCAGGGATCCCCAAACCATAGGACGTTTCTTCCTTGATGGGGGTGGTGAAGTCAGTGCTAGGTGGAGGTAGGTTGGCAATCATGGAGTCCGGACCGCCAGGGCTGTTGAGGTCTGACATAAAACCAGGGATCCCCAAACCATAGGACGTTTCTTCCTTGATGGGGGTGGTGAAGTCAGTGCTAGGTGGAGGTAGGTTGGCAATCATGGAGTCCGGACCGCCAGGTGACTGTTGACGTGCCTCAAAACTGAGTCGGTGGACATTTGTGTTCTCCACATCTTCTTGAGCAGTCAGTTTGGATGGAACGTTGCTGCGAGGTTTTGGAACAGGTCTTGCTGTTGGACTGGGAGGACCGCTGGTTTGGTCCAGAGCAGGGTGAGGTTGGTGAGGAGCTGGAGGAGAAGGAACAGAGAACTGAGCTCCGCTAGAATCAGATACTATAGTTCCTGCAGTGAGTGGGGTGGAGACAGTGGGATAGTAGGGAGCTGTGTCCCAGCAGCCTGCACTGTAAGTGGTAGTGGTGGGAGGGTAGTTCTGGTATGTGGTTGGTTGAGAAGCTCGACGGCGTTCGCCACAAAAGGGAAGGGCCGGGGTGTCATAGTGGGAGCGCTGACGCTGCAGTCGTTGCTGGTTCTGCTGGGGACCAGGAATGTTGTCATAGAGCTGTAGTGCCACCTCTGCAGCAGTGGGCTGTGTTCCTCCATGGACCATCGCTGCTGAGGAAAACTGTGGGGTCTGATTTTGGTACTGATGACTGTACGTTGTGTTCATGGTATGGTGTGGGTAGCCTGGATTATGAGGTGACTGCTGCTGATTTTGATAGTCTTCCTGAGCACCTTCCATCGGACGTGGCGTAGTTGCTGGTACTTGTGGCCCGAAAGTTGGCACCATTTGAGGAGCACGGCTTCCTAACTGGAAGTTAATGTATCTTTTAGCCGGTGGATTGTTTGAGCTAGCAGCTGCATCTGTCACCACGATATTTCCATCCACTCTACTCATACTTGCTGACGGGATTTCCACCAGCAGCAGAACCAGCCTTGGGCACAGCTGCAGCAGTAGGCTGAGGATTAACCAAGAAGCCAATCGAGTTACCTACAGGACCACCCACACCTTGGATCGAGTCAGAGCCTGCAAGTCGGTGGATCAATTCAACGATATCACTGCCACAAGGAAGAGCAGTAGCCCTGAGAAGGTTTGTACAAACTAATTGCGAAATGCATAGTTTCAATTCCTTGAGCACGTCATTGGTGGAAGGTCTGTCCTTGGCCAGTTGACTCAAGCATTGCTCAACTATTGGCTTCAACGGACTGTCGGTGATTTTGTCGAGATAAGGCTTTCTTCGTTCTACCTCTGGACAAACCTCCATGGCAGATTTGAGTCTACCCAGTGGCTTGGGCCACTCGTGAGTGAGGGTGTGCAACATGACTACTCCAAATGAGAAGACATCAAGTGAAGCATTGTAGACTGGGTTGTCCAACCAGGCCTCGGGAGGCATGTGATCATCATTCCCCGGGACCTGACTGAGTTGCTGCTGTCGAGTCGCGTACTTTGAATCGATCTTTGCCTGGCCGAGGTCAGCGATCTTGGCCACCATTCCCCTGGTCAGAGCCAGTAGAATGTTGTTGGCGGTGAAGTCCCTGTGGACTATGGGACCGAGGGGAGGAGGGAGGGAGTGTAGGTACACCAGACCACTGGCCACGTCGTGCAGGATGCTGTACTTGGTGGAGAGTGCGACCGAGGATTCAGCATTGTTCTCCAGGTACTTGCAGAGAGATGTGTCCATCAGCTCCATGACCAGAGTGGGGAGTCGAGTGGCCCTGTCGAAATGGATGCCTATCATCTCTATGATGTTGGGGTGGCTGAGGTAGAGAACACGGCGACACTCCGTCTCGAATCGCTCAGTTATCGATGACTTCTCCTTTGGTGGCACGTCTCGCCCAGTGAAAATTCCATGAAGCTTTTTGGCTGCGCACCTTCGCCCCCTGACCTGAACCTCAATGACCTTGCCATAAGACCCTGTTCCGAGGGTCGTGCCAGTCTCCACGAGGGCAGATATCAGAAGACCTGCCTCACGTACTGCACTCTCTATTGGTAGTCCTTTACTCTTCTGGTACCTCTGGACTTGGAGAGCTGCATAGAGAAAGATGGTGTTAAGCTACATATAATATAGCTGTTTCGAGTCTGACAACCTTCGTTCTGTTGTGAGCTGAAAGTTGGGATTGGTGGAGTACTAAACCCAGGGGTGTCCAACTGTGAGACAGGAAAATTTGCATAATGATGGTTCTTGTGCTGAGTGGTATGATGGGTTGATTGCAGTGGTCCTCCAGTGTGTAGACCTTGAAGAGGAAGGGGGTTGAAGTGTGGGGGAGGAGGATTCTGAAGGTCGAAGTGTGGGGAAGGAGGTGGGTTGGGATGTGGAGAGCCAGATGGGGCAATCCCACTTCCCTGCTGAGCTCTAACGAACTGTAGACGTCTATTTTGGACAATGTTCTCAAGTGGAACCTCCCATCTCCCCCTGTTTAGCAGCGTGGTTACAGCCTCCTGGAGGTGAACGACCTCCTCATGCATCACCAGCAGGTCGGTGGCAGTCTCCAGGACCAGTGGAAGTTTCACATCTCCATCGTAGACCAGATCCTGGGTCTCTTTCTTCTCCTTCTTGTCAGTCGCCCTGTAGCCCATGGCTTTGAACGCCTCCTCTGCGTGGTGGAGGTGACGGGAGATGTTGTACACGTAGAAGGAAGTCGACAACTGAAATAAACAAAAACTCACAATTGCGCAATTTGGGAAGGGAATTACTCACTTTCATCTTCTTGAACTCGGCTCTGTTAGGAGCCAGGACGAGGTTGAGAGCGTAACGGACGAGAGATATGCTCGCCAGCTTCCATCCATCCAACACAGGCACGGCCTTGTCTAGTAGCGTCACGCCGCCAGAGTTGGCCGATTCTCGTCTCCGTCTGGCGAGGTCTCCCAGCAGTAGCTCGTACACGGCCACTTTGTTGAACCTGAGACTTGCTTCTGGGTCGCGGACGATGTCCCTCGCCAGCTGAAAGAGGGACTGGGGGACCTCCACGTCCTTCAGGTTCTTCCCCGCCTGTGGCTGGATCTTTCTGATTTGCCTGATGATCTCCCTCCTCTTCGCTCGAACCGCTTGAGTAGTAATAGCTCTTATGGCTCTCTTTTGCGCTTCTTCTTCGTTCCATTCTGTGTCGCCAGCCAGTGCCATCGCGACATACGAGCCACACCCCAATTTAATGAGTAATTTAATACCATGCGCGTGTGCCTGATGACCATGATTCTTGAGTGAGCACACGAGAAATATTATCTAAGAGCTAGTGCAATGGTATGTCCGTGAGAGTCAACTCTAGGTAGACCATGACAGAGGTCATATCTATGGACCAGGAATGAATACATCACATCTGACACCAGAAACACCTGCAGCAACAGGGAAACAGCAGTAATACAGCTGCAGACTATAGATGGTCAGTATACCTGAGCCAGGGAGTATGCCAGAGTAGTGGCAAAGAAGAAGTTGGCATTGGCAGAGCCAGCGTGGATCCAGAGGTACCAGAAGACCGGGCAGAGGACCGACGTCATCAGAAACATACACAACACCACCAGAGTATACCGCAGGTCTGTATGCATATAATACATTGTTTAAGCATAATAATAATAGCAGCAGTGCTAAGAAGGAAAAATGTAAACTCCATAATGAGAGTATGACTGACATCTGAAGGTGTGAGACCATAGAGGGAGGAGGGAGAGGGGGAGAGCCAGGTCACCCACACTGGGGTAGGACTTGAACAGAGCCATCAGTGACAGCAACACATAGGCCAGAAACACTGGGTGTTCACTGGAGGAGGACACAAACAACATTCCAGAGTAGATGAAACTCGGCAAAGAGCAGTGTATTCATGGACTGATAGAACACTGGGATTACAGAGTACTACAGTCCACTGATAAGAGGGAGGGAGTAGGGGCTCTACCTGAATCTGAAGGAGAGAGGGAGGACGTAGAGAAAGGCATTGATCTGGAAGACACACAGGAAGAAGACTCGGAAGTGTTCGAAAGCCTCAGTGAAGAAGTACCAGAACAGTCCCACATTGGGAGTCAGGTCTGGGACTGTGAGTCTGGGGAGGGTGTGAGGGTGTGAGGGGTGCCAGTGGTGACAGTGGTGCTCACATGACTCCGTGAGTGGCGGACAGGAAGTCCCAGGACCCAGTGAGGTAGTGAGATCCACAGAACAGGAGACCAGTCCAGGCTAACGTCACCATCACATACACCACTGATCCCAGCAGACCTCTCCTCTGTGAGAGAAAACCAGGCCTTATGCAGTGGATGAAACAATGTAGATAACTGACTCTGTGTGCGAGGATGAGTAGAGGGCAGAGGAGCATGGCTGGATAGAGAGACAGGTAGACTCCCACTGCCAGCCCCAGAGCTGACAGCACCTCCAGACCTGAATGCATGTACACCACCACCATCAGTAGTCATGGGGGGAGGGTAAGGATTGGGGGCCCACCTCTGAGCTGGCAGTAGAGAGCGAGGGAGACAGAGAGAGTGGTGAGGGGGAGAGTGTGAGTGGCCAGCACATGACAGAATGGAGAAAGGCTGCAGGAGATACCTGGAGAGGTAAGAAACATCAGTACAAGTGTGTCATGTGAGGGAGAGAGACTAACACGAGAGCTACAAATGACGGCAGTGAGGAGTCAGCTTTCACCAGAATATCAGTCACTTCCTTTTCCATAGCTCCTCCTCTCCCTGGTCTGTCTCCTCAACTGAGAGTTTGGTGAGTGGAGGATGAAGTTCACAGTCCATATGATAATACAGTCTCACCTGGTCCTTCATATGGAGATCTGCTATACCAGCCAGACACACTGCTATCACCACATCCACACTCTGCAGTGATGGAATATAGTGAAACCTGTGTTATATAGAGAGATGTTTCACTGACGATGAAGAATGCTCCCACAGCCCATTCTCCGAGACTAGTCAGCCACTGGAACACTGTCAGTACCAGTGCTTGCTGCAGGAAAAATGGCATACACAGGGTAATCGGTTTGGAAAGTAGTAACAGAACCTCATGAAAGACGTCTCCACTGTATGGCGAGTAGTTTGAAGACACCAGAGCTATTCCTTCTTGAACTTTACAAGATCACGTGCACATCACGTGGCAATACGTATATACTACTAGTGACACATGACAGCGCTTACCTCTAGTCCATGAGTTGACGGGAGTGCTGATCTCCACTCTCTTGGCTAGCCAGTCCCCAGAACCCAGCCATATCAACAGACATCGACACACAACTGCAAGGACGGCCAGCAGTAGTACCACCATGCCTTATACAATGATGACATCACGTGGAAGTCACGTGAATAAATAAGCGATCTACACCTATATACACGTCGCGCGCGGCGAATGACTCTGCAGCTCTATCCTATGGTTCTTCGGCTCTCTGCTCTAAGTTAGGACCATATACAACCTGGATCAAGAGGTCGAGGCCTATTATCATCTGGAACTTCAATCCAAATCTGAATCGTGGGCACTTGGTGACGGTGGAGTAGATTTAGCAAAGACAGCGAGACATTCGTTCGGGAAAGCAAAACACCAAGTCGTATCTGCAGCTCGCGATCTCAAGGAAAGGATTAGTGTGCAGGTAGGTAAGGGCTTAGTGGCTTACCTTTTGGTGGGGAAATCCCCTCTTGCATTACAGGGAAGTGCCACAACCTTTGATATGGCGTACATTCTCCTGAAGGACAAAGGAACAGGCAGAGAAGGCCACTCGTGTGTTGGGTGTGCCTGTTCCTCGGCAGATACATACCACTCCCTGTCGAGTTCTGAAAGGAGAACTGGTAACAGGCATACCTCCTGAGGATAGAGTACAGCGAAATGACGGCCTGATGCCTCATAACTATCGCACTCTTACTAAAGACTCCCCTGCCACCTTCTACCATGATGATGCTGCTGAACATGACCTGTCTCCCCTGACACCAAATGACTATGATGTTTTGGCTGGTATCAAGTCAACATATGCCAGGTACCAATTCTTCATTGAGGGAGGGAGGCTGGACTGGGCTAGCAAGTTAAAGAAGGGAGACAAAGTGATGGTGGAGCTGCCGGTGGAAGGTGGAAGAGCTACACCTGGAACAGGTCCCAGAGCCTCTGCTGTGGTCAGATATGTTGGACCTGTGAAGACCCTACCAGGAATCACATTTGGAGTGGAGATCAAGGTATGTACAGATCCCAGTCAGTGAATTGACCCATCTTTGTACTCTTACGTGCATTTATTCAGGACCACACTTACTTTGGGTGGGGAACGTCAGATGGTGTCTTCCAGGATGAGGAGCACTTCAGATGTAAGAAGGGCTGTGGTCTGTTTGTCTCTGCAGAGAAGCTCTTTCCAGTGAGCACCATACCAGCTGGTAGTCCTCACCCTGCCCAGCGACGTGGAGGAAAGCAGGGTCCTCACATGGGGCAAGTGTGACTCCACACTCCAGCTATCGCTACAAGATCGGGGATCGTGTGGCAGTCTTCACAAAGAAGGGAGTTGCTGTCCATGGCACCGTGAAGTGGGTGGGGCTGTATAGCTTTACTGTGAATAAGAAAGAGTATTCACACAAGTCAGTTGGAATTGAAACAGTAAGACTGACGTAATTTCTCTGCTCTTCTTTGAGTGTTTTTTCCTAGGACGTGAAGGTGAAGACAAATGAGGTGGAGGGATTTCCAGTGAAGCCTTATTTTACTCCAGCCAAGGACAGGGGTGCTGTGTACTTAAGTGAAGATGAGGTGCTTCCAGAAGCTGATCTTGTGGAAGAGAGGGTTCCAGTCCAAGACCGTCCTGTGGACTTGAAGCGAAAGAATCTGCTCCGTGAAGCTGACCCAGAGCATGTCCCAGAGAGAGGCAAGTCAGCTGCTCTTGCCAAGGAAGCAGGGATCAAAACAGAGTTGATAAGGCAGGATGCAGCTGCCTGGAGAGAAATTGAACAGTGGAGGAAAGGGGAAGAAGAGGAGAGGAGGCAGGGGGAGATGGAGGAAATCAGACAAGCTGTGCCGGACGAGACCCTGAATATCTCTGGACAGGAGGAGCGGCTGCGACAGATAGCTGCAGAGCGACTTCGTGTGGAGGAACAAATCAGTGGAGGGGGAGATGGTGGGGGAGATGGTGGGGAGGGAAGAGGCAGGAGGGGAGGTGGATTGAATGGGAGAGAGAGAGAAATGGAAAGGAAAGAGGGTGGGTATGTACCACAAAAAGAGCACACGTATGAGATTTTGCCTGGTGAACACGAAGAGAATGTTGTACAACGCAACCGTCGACACAACCAGTTCCAAGACAAGAATTATCCACCGCCAACTCAATTTAACCCAGCCACTGAGTCTCGGCAGTATTGGGACTCTCGCAGTGGGTCCCATCCTCAGGCCCCACCTGCTGCAGCCAGCTATCAACCTGGTCTTCACGAGTCAACTGGGTCTTCTTACCCCCATCCTGCATCCTCACGTTCCTCCCAGTCTGGTGACCAGCACAGTGTGGCTGCTGGTCTGGGGCAACCTCCAGGGCAGCACAGAGCGTATGCTGGTCCTCCAGGTCAACCCACTCCAGCTCTGGAGGTTGGATCTCCTGTACAACTAGTACGGGACTCCAGTCGTCATGGAGTGGTCAGGTGGCTGGGAACACTACCAGAGATACAGGGAGCCATAGCTGGAGTGGAGCTGGTTGGTGCTAAATGTCCTACATTACCTTGGGTTTTGAATGACTCCACTCAGGATGAGCCAATGGATGGATGTGGAGATGGAGAGTGGAATGGTCATCGTTACTTCACCTGTCTCCCTGGGAGAGCCTTCTTCTGTCCTGTCACTTCTCTCAGACCTGACCCCAGGATTCCTCCAGCTACACAACCAGCTCAACACGGAGGACAGCCTGATACGAATCGTATGTCTCTTATCCCATATTTCAGTTGATTATTACTTCATTAATGTTTTGCAGCTCTAAACAAAGTACCTGACTGGGAGTCTGAGGACCAGCACACAGCTGGAGACCAGATACAAAAGTACACTGGAGAGAGGAGAGGGATCCAGGGTCACCAGAACTCCTGCTATCTTGATGCCACCATATTTGGCCTGTTTGCTCTCAGTGATGTCTTTGACTCTCTCTTCCTCGACAAATTCAAGAGCCTCACACTAACTTCTCTCCAGCCAGAAACTCCGACAGCTAATGTCCAGAAGGAGGTAGGGGCCATGCTGTGGAAAGGCATCGTCAACCCTCTCAGAAAGTAAGTGCTGTGCATGTGCGTGTACAAACTCTCACAGTCCACCATATATTCCCTGGCTTCAGGAACGGAGCAGTGAGGTTTGAGTCGGTGATGAGACTGAGGAACAAACTGGAGGAACTGGGGAAGATGGAGGGAATCACTGCTAAAGAGAAAGGTAAGTTAGAGAGAGGTATTGTACTGGCTAGAGTTGTCCCCTCTCTCCAGATCCTGAGGAATTTCTGAACATGCTCTTCAAACACACTCTACATGTGGACCCATTCATCCACATCAAGTAGACCAGTTGTACTAGCGATGAGTGGTCTAACATCTCTCATTCCTCAGACGACCTTCTGGAACTGAACCAGAGTTCTTTATACAGTTGTTTGTGGAGTTTGACAAATCTCTAAAAGTCCCAACAATTCAGGCACTCCTGCGTAATATGTTCAAAGAGCAGCACATTTCATTTTCTGAGGTACGAACATCGCTCCCTTTTCTTTTCTCATGTCTTGTCTGGTCTGCAGGTCCCGTCAAAGCTGTTGGTTCAGGTTCCAAGGTATGGGAAGCAGTTCCAGATTTACAAGAGGATCGTTCCTGGGATTAAGTTGGACCCCACCCCTCTTATGTGTAACCAAGGTATGTTTATATTTATTACCAGCCACCTGCTTACTTCTCATACTTTGGCAAAAGACACCTGTTTCATCTGTGGAGAAACCGCCCCTGAACAACTGTTCCGAATGCATGGGAGATTTCAATGCTAAAGAAACAGTTCATTTCTGTGACCACTGCAATGCCTGTGTGCACAAGAACCCGAAACGTGTGGCCCACAAACCAGAGAAGAGGGAGGATCTTCCGGAGTTGGAGTTGTTGTCAGTGTTGTGTATTGAGACCAGTCACTACGTGTGTTTCTCTCGAGACAGTGACGGAAGATGGCTCTTCTTTGACAGCATGGCCGACCGCCTCTGTGAGTCCCCCCCTGACTAACAAACCACTAATTACCCCACCCTCTCTCTCGTCAGATGACCAGTTCAACATTCCCCGAGGAGTGGAGTGCACAGCCCAGCTGAATGAGTGGGTGTATGAGGGAGACCAGGAGAGGCTGATGGCAGCTGGACCCAGGGAGCTCCCTGAACTGGTCCGCAGGTTCACTCAAGACGTCTACATGTGTGTCTACATACAGCCGGACTATGGAATGTACGGATGAACTTGCTATTATAGTTCGCTGTAAAATATTTTTTCGAGCAGACGTAAATAAGCGCGTGCGCACAAAACAGCAGGACGACCGCGCCTATTGCGCACGCGTGCGCATGCGCGTACAACGTCCCCACCCCGGCCGGCCCCCCACACCCGATCGATCTTAGCTCGCATCTTTCTCTGCTAAGAGAGGCTTCATAATGTCGGATAAAGCGGGTCCGGGTTATGGCGTGCGTGTGCAGGGATCGTCTCCACTGGACACTTCATGGGAGGTGCTGGATAAGAACGAGCATGGACTCATCGTGGAAGGTAATGCAGCAGGAGACGCAGATGTCCCAATGCAAGAACCAGACACAGTACCACAACAGACTAGTGAGCAGGCCCGAAAGGAGGGCGAGGGAGGCAGAGGGAAGGAGGCAAACAATGAACCAGGGAAAGAGAAGATAAAGTGTGAGATTGGGGAGAGTGTGGTACATCAGAAGTATGGGTATGGAGTGGTGAGGTGGGTGGGGGAGGTTGGAGGCGAGAAGATGACAGGCATTGAACTGGTAGGTACATACATAGGCCATTCTCTGCACCTATACACACTGTATACCTCTCTCTACAGGAAGACTACAGAGTTGGTTGTGGGGATGGGTGTCTGCCAGGCTCAAGTGAGCCTCTGTTCTCTTGCAGTGAAGGTCGCGGAGTCTTCTGCCCCACCTGTGAGCTGTCTCCAGACACCAGAGCTCCCGACCCTCCACTGGAGGAAGAGACCCCAACACCTGCCAGCAGACCCAGCCAGTTGTTTGAGACGGGGTCGATGGTGGAGGTGAAGGGGTTTGGGTTTGGAGTGGTGCAGTGGGTGGGGAAGATGGCCGGCACCAACACTGCTGGAATTGAACTGGTAACACCACACATACGCACACTCTCTCACTCACCAAATGTCCCTCTGCCCTGCTCTAGGAGGAGTTCAGTAACAGAGGTGGAGATGGAACTCCAGAGGGAGGGGCTAAGGCACTGTTTCCATGCCAACCTGGTCACTGTGTGTTCAGTCCAGTCCAGGAACTGGTCCCTGACTCCAGATTCATGATCACTGAGGCCACCAACCGTGAGTTGTGGAGTAATATGACAGTTCCTTCAACGAAAGTCACCTGTACACAGTCCTCAAAGTCTCCTATTTTGTGGACATGCATACTTACCTGCTGTTATTTAGCTATAATACTTGGCCACACCTTCTAAAGCACTCTTAATATTTGCCCACACAGAGTGAGTAAAAATATGGATCTGTTAAATATGAGGTTCTGTACTACCTTGCCTGTCTATTGACTCTGCCTTTCTCCCCCAGCTCTTGAGGATATTGCACTGCAGACAATCATAGAGAAACAGCCAATCCCTCGACTCAGCACCTACTGTGGGACGGACAAGAAGAAAGGGATCCAGGGAGAACACAACTCCTGCTACATCGATGCCACTCTGTTCGGACTGTTTGCTCTCAGCTCTGAGTTTGACTCTCTGCTGACCCCCGGGAGATCAGGGGGTCCAGATCAGAGGGGTCCTGGGAGTTCACTGGGCAAGACAATCTCCACTATTCTCCTAACAAAGATCGTCAACCCCCTCAGAAAGTTAGCCCCTCAATATGCCGAGATATTGGGTGACATGATTGGGTTCTGCAGACGTGGGGTTGTGCGATGTGAACCTGTTCTGGAGTTGCGAGAGCAGCTGGACACACTGGGCAAGATCACTGGTCTCCTGCAAGACGAGAAAGGTAACAACATATCCCCCTTCCTCCATTTCTCTCCCTCACTGGAGTGTTACTACAGACCCTGAGGAGTTCCTGAATCTGCTCTTCAAACATGCACTATCAGCCTCCCCTTTTGTCTCCATTCAGTGAGTGGCTCTAACTGGAGTAGCTATATGCCTACTATGTATGTAGACACTGCACTAGTGGTAGAGTAGGCCACACTAGTAATGGGGTTGTTGGGTGTTCTCCCAGACGTCCACAGGGAGAAGAAGAGGAGTTCTTCATCCAGTTGTTCATGGAGCCAGACCCTTCCCTCCCCCTCCCCACCATTGGCCACCTCCTCTCTAGAATGTTCTCTGAACAGAGCATCAAGTTCTCCCAGGTCAGCTAGCTCACCACTGGCTTGCAGTAGCGTGTGTGTACTGTCCTAATGATAATGGTTCTAGATCCCTGGGAAACTGCTGATACAAGTTCCTAGGTACGGCAAACAGTTTAAGACCTTCCAGAGAATCGTTCCTGACAAGATGCTCGACATTAACTCGCTCTGCAATAACAGCTGCCGCAAGTTGCGCAAACATCGAGAACTGAATGCACATTTGAAACTGCTGTCAGTAGTTTGTATCGAGACCAGTCACTACGTGTGTTTCTGTCACCATGACGATCACTGGGTCTTCATGGACAGTATGGCTGACAGAGTGGGTGAGTCTCCTTCAATTAGTGATGTAATGCATGATGTCATAGGGTGTTCTTATTATAGACGACCGTTTCAATATTCCATCGTGTGAGGACTGTACCGCAGACCTAGAGGAATGGGTGTACGGTGACAAACTAAAGAAAACTATGTCGCAAAAGAAAGAGAAGAATGTTCCAGAACTGGTTCGCAGATTCACGCAAGACATTTACATGTGTGTCTATGTTGAAGATAGCACAGCTGTTTAGGTTGTATTTCACTCTTACAAATTTAGGGGAAACCAAAACAGGACACAAACATGGGTAGTATACAAAGTAAAGTGAAAACCACACACACAAAGGCTAGAGTCAACAAAATAATATGGGGAGCTATTTTCATATAATCAGTGGCAGTTTCGACAGAGTGGATGACACTTCTTCCCGTCCTCCCTGCAATGACAGCCTCCTGACTTGTCACCTTTACCCTGTGCAGCACATTACAGCAGATGTCACTAATCAGTGGTGGGTGTGGGTGTACATACATTGGGGCCCCAGCGAGCCTGTTTGGTGGCCCAGCAGATCTCAGTCTTACACACACTGCAGCGAACCCAGTCGCAGCCGTCTTTCTTCTGAACCACAATCTGACAGGACGGGCAGTGCATTGCGTCGCCAGCCTCCACCATTTTCTATATACAGCAGAGACAGCCCCGCCCCGTCATGGAGCTAGAGGTGAGGCAGTGAGGTAAACTCACTTCCAACATTTCTTGAGTGGCCTTGGCAGCCACGTCATTGGCAGCTCTTCTCTTGAGGTCGTCCTGGTATTCCTGGCAGTTCTGTCCTTCATGAATGGCCTTACACGTCAGGCAGTTCACCTACACATGCACACACACACTGATAGAAAAGTGAATAAAGAGAGAATGTTGGGTCCAACCTTCCTACAGATTTGGCATGGAAATGGTTGACTTCGTCCTCATAAAAGCAGAACCCCTCGCAGTCGGTGGTCTTACAGTGGTAGCTGTTGGCAGCTGCACTCTCGGCCTCCCGCAGCCCTCTCTTGTACAGATCCTGTAGCTCCTCCTTCGTCACCAGCTGTGGACGAGACTTGATGACAGGGGTCAGGGGTCGTTGCCCGGGGACCCACCTGTTTGATTTCTCTCTCAGGCAGCGGAGCGTTGCACTCATAATCGTTGTCTTTGTATGGACATTTCACCTCTGCATCTGGACTCTGCATTATACTCTGCTTCAAACACAACCTACAGAACCATACAATCATAGAGAAGCTCGATGCAGTTGTAGAAGACTGACTTGCAGAACCGGTGGAGACAGTTCCTGAGTGTAACTCCCTCCCCTGGCTCCACTGTGTCGAAGCAAATTGGGCAGTCAAATTCCTCTTCATTTGTAATGAGAGCTTCTTCTTCTGCTTGCAGCAGGGCCTGGAAATTCTCTGCCCTCTCCCTCTCTTGTTTCTGCTTCTCTGCCTCTTCGAACTAGGGAGAGAACCACACCCACTCATTACTACCTCCCCGTGTCTCCGCTCTTATCAACATTGTAATGATGACATCATTATTTGACATTGTACACAATACGGACACAGCGACTGGACTAGCTGAAAGGAAAGTCAACCAGTACTATCCACAAGAGGGGGGCAGGGGATGTGTGAATGTCGCTGCCCCTCATCTGGTCCCCTCCAGACCTCTCTCTTGTGTAGCCAGCATCTGGAGAGGGGGACAAGGCGCAGCGCATCACACCTCCCCCTCCTCCCTCTCCTACCTAATCTCCCCAAACTCACCTGCTGGAACAAGTCCTCGCTCCCCTGCAGTCCCGCCACAATCCTTGCCTCGTCTGCATCCATTGGAATGTCTTCAGGGATCTGCATTTATGATGTAATGGTCAATTCAGACCCATACATTTGGAACAGTGTCAATGACATCATCACCTGGTAGTCGAGTGGTCGGTCTGCAGAGCAGATTTCGCAGCCGGGACGACGAGGTTTGTTGATGAAGGTACACTTCGGACAGGACCAGCCGACCTGCCTCACCGCTGGTGGGGGTGGGCGTGGCATCACAGGCTCCAGCTCAGGGGCCTGATATTGGGTAGGGGGTCCCCTAGTTTCAGGAGGTCCCCTAAGTTCAGGGGGTCCCCTTGATTCTGGGGGTCTTTTACTTTGAGGGGGTCCCCTAGTTTCAGGGGGTCCCCTTGATTCTGGGGGTCTTTTAGTTTGAGGGGGTCCTCTAGCTTCTGGAGGGTAGCCTAGTGCCATATGCTGCTGGTGGAGAGGTTGAGGTCCAGGCATATACCCGCCTCCTCCAAATTGAGGTATTCCGTAGCCGATATTAGGGGGTGCTGCGTGATGTGGGTGTGGCCTACTCTCGGCAGGGTGTAGCTGGTAGTTCTGTAGCTTTTCGTAGGTGGGGTCAAAGTCGGACTGAACCCGTTGAGGGGGTGGAGCCATGCCTGGTCTAGGAATGTTGTGGTTAACTCTGGCATATGTATCTTCTGTGGGATGAATGACAAACTATCATCACAATAGACATATATACACCAAAAGTAAAAAATAAGCAAAATGAAAAGCACTAAAGTGCAAACCCTCAGCACACTACATAGAAATGTGGAACCCATACACAAGTGTGGCACCACCACAATTGATGCTCTTGACCATGCATAAAAAAGAACAGCATGTTATGCTTCAATATGTGGCAGTCCCTATTTCTGTTTGAGGGTAAAAAATATATAAGGTTGAAAAATGCCAACCTTTCATCTCTCTATTAATTTTCGTATTACCCGTGGATTGTTTAGTGCAAAAAACAAACAAACCTACGGTTAAAAAAAAACGCCCAGCCCTTCATCTCTCCAGACAGACGTCTACGGACGCAGTGCTATGCCGAACTATACGCTGCCCTTTGAGAAACGTGGGTCAGTGGTAGATTTGTGGGTAAGGGGAGGAACCAGAGCTGTTCCCAGCCAATGCTCTGGACCACCTGACACTGAACCGGGCACCTGTGTCAGTCCCCACGACTCTAACCACCTAGCCACTCGGGCTGGCCTGGACAGGTGATGAAAAAACGTTCCATATATACCAACACTCCTATTACATCATTGTAAAAAAAGGCGTACACACACCGGGATCGAACCAGGGACCTCACGATCAAGAGAGGGGCCTGCTTATCCATCAGACCACTATTACTTGAATGGGAACAGCGTAAATGAAAAGCACTAAAGTCGGCGAACTGCCATGTATACCGACCGCTAGCGTTCACACGCTGTCTCCCGCAGTAGCTTGCGGAGAGTCTGGCTAGCTACAGTAGTAGATAGCGTGCGGGAGTCGATACACACCCTTCACTGTGGCTTCTTGTGCCTCCACGGTACAAAGAGCAAGCGGATCAGGGCCGGGCGAGGTAGGTGTGTGAGAGCTGCGTCTAATACACGCATGCGCACCGCTTGTTGATGGGTTGGGCCACGCAACGCTCGCGACCGTGTCAGTTTGTCGCTCACGAACGCAGTCGTTTTAGCAAAATCGCCATTTTAATTTTCTAGCCCATGTAAAGCTAAAGCTGTTGATATCGCTCATAATCCGCTTCGTAGCCTGTAATGCGAGAATAGTCGTAGACACAGAGACAGACACACAGACGACTACCGTAACCCTCGCTGCGCATGCGCGCCGAGGGTTAATAGCACATTTTTGAGGCTCTGAAGTGTTATTACCTTCAGGTGGAAGTCCCCAGGCTCGATGTACTGCAGGCAGGAATGAAGAGAATGCCACTCCACATACATACAACAGAGAGAGGGTCTTACCAGTGGGTGGGGCTTCTCGTGGCTGAGGAATGTGGTAGTCAAGGGCGACTGCCTGCACCATCTGACCTCCCATATTGAACCCTCCTCCATCTCTGTCCATTCGCCTCACTGCACACACACACACACACACACTCTTTCTCACAGTATATACTTATCATGTGCATGCAGTGGAAGTAAAGAAGTATCTAGGATGATCAGGTGGACCTCAATACACACCTATATATTACAGTAGTACCACCACCCTGCTGCTTATAGTTGTGCTTTCATTATGTGTGGAAAAATGCAAATGCCAGAGCCAAAATGGCATGTACAAAAAGTGAGGTATTAACTCTACATGACTCACCCTGGGGTGGGGGATGCTGGGTGGGGTACTCCGCTTGGTGATGGGGTGCGGGGTGTGACCTCGGAGGAACAGTGGGCGGGGCAGCAGTCGGCAGAACGAGAGGTTGTTCCCACGGCTGTTTGAGCCCCTGTTTCTTCCTGTCGTATTCCTCCTGTTGACACTGGCGTATGGCTTCGTACTCCTCCTTTGGAACATGGGCCTTCTTGGAGTGCATCACGTAGATATACACCTGGAGACAAGGTGGACAGTGGAACCCCTCTAATCTGGACACCAGTCATATCTGTGTCTGTATTAGTGAGGTGCCTTATTCCATGGGTTAAATAAGTGTTTCTGGGGGGAGAGGTGGGCCTCTATTAGAGCATTTCAGCACTGTACAGTGTCCAACAGAGGAGGACAATAACTAACATCAGTGGCGGTGGTGGCCGAGCCATCTCCGTCGATGCCAAAGTCTCTGAGAGTGTGGTTCAGGAGATCTCCCTTCACCAAGTTATCGCCAATGATCCAGTTCTGAGTGGCCTTTGGGATGTGGTGACTTAGCTCCAGCTACACACACACACACACACACATGGAGAGAGGAAAGGACAAAATCATCTATACACTGTTTTGTTTTCCAAGAGTCATACATGTTGCTGTATGTCAGAGATCCTGAGACTTGACTTGAAGTCGAGATAGAACTCCAGTTTACTTTTGTGCTGACTCTGGAACTCTATGAACAGATGGAGTCTGGCAGAGGAGAGGCAGAGGAGATGAAAATAAGACATTTCACTAAAGAGTTTCAACTAACTTGACATCCACGTCCTCCATTGAGGGACCGTTGGAGGTGTTGGAATAAGAAATGGAGAGTTTCTTCTGCGGTTTCTGGGCCTCTGCCACCATCTTCTGCAGCATGTGGATCATTCTGTGGGCCGCTTCAAAGTTCCCCGCATTGAGTGCATTGGCCAGGAACGTTGCTGCAGACGAGGAAGAGACAGTGGGTGGAGGAAGGGAGGGAGCATGCAGTAGTTACCGTGATCAGATGGCTCTTCATTAACAAACGACGGTATTTCGGGCTCTGGGGGTTTAGCAGGCGGTTTCTTTGGTAACAGGAGCGGGGCAGCAGCCTCAACCATTGCTCTGCTAGTCTTGACAGGAGTCTGTCTCTCCACAGTAGGCAGTACCTGGGGTCCCCTCTCTATAGCAGGACCAGGGTTGTATGGAGGTTTGGAGACTGAGGGTCCCGGATTTACTGGCTGTCCCGGATTATACGGCTGCAGTCCTGGATTGTTAGGTGGGTGTCCCGGATTGAAAGGCAGCTGCCCAGGATTAAACGGCCTAACTCCCGGATTGTTAGTGGGTTGTACAGAATTCTGTTGCGGGGGTGTGGTGTTGTTAACAGTTGGGTGAGGTGAGTGTTGCTGGAGGTAGTGAACTGGCTGCAGGCCTGCAGGTGCTCCGTGCGGTGGTTGGTAGTCGGCTGGGCCCGGAGGATTGTCTGTTGCCTCGACTACGCGATCCTGGGGAGGGGGTGGGGCTTGTGTTTGTGAGGGAGCTGGCTGTAGTGTCGACGGTCCAACACCATACCCAATAGCAGCTGGAGATAAAGAGAGAGAGAGAGAGAGAGAGAGAGTAGGTATGATTGGTGGGTGTGGCTTACGGGGCAGTTTGTCCGGATTGGGGATGCCACTGGACGGCTTCTCATCAAGTACCACAGCCTGCAAGGTCACCAGACCTGTCACATCTGAGGAGTTGGTAAGGGGAAGACATTATCAGCAGTTTTCATTGTTGACATTGCAAAGGGACTATCCAGACAATGGAGCTCTCGTAGTGGTAGGAGTGTCTTACTCATCTCCGCTCGGATCTTCCCCAGGAATATGTCCGCCATCTCCGCCCTCTTGAACTTTATTCCGATGAGTTGTTTCTTCTCCGGCAGAGGGACCTGAATGAAGCCCTTACCAGAATCCTTCACGTTGGCAGTTGTAGACAACTGGTGCTCCTCCTGCACTCACAGAGAGACGGCTAGCACAGAGAACACTGATGGGGTCCAGCCCTACCCTCAGTCCGCCATCACCGACGATACGGACGAAGAAGTTGTAGCCTCTCTTCCTGAAGGTGACGGTAGCCGAGCCATCTGCCCTGTTGGTGAAGAAGTTTTCCCACTTGTTCGCGCTGAAGTTGTGCCGGAACACGAACACCTCGTCGGACTTGACGGTGGCGAACACGCGGTCCCCCGACATCGCCGAAAGCTTTGCAGGTCTGTATTTTACAGAAACTCCACCCTAGCTCTCCGCTGGGAATCCCCTTTGGTGGGTGTGGCCTGCTCCGTTGTGGGCGCATGCGCGAATTCACAGCAAGCACAAACATCGTAAGTAGATGAATCTTGAAAAACCAATAAGGAGATAGGGTTAGCAGCACAGAAACAACAGTACATGTACACATTTGAAGAAAGCTATGAGGTGTCCATGGTGACAGGCTCCTCCCCCTCTCTATCGGGGGTGTCCTCGGAGGCCAGCAGGCTCTGCAGGTGGTGGATGGAGGTGAGGAGAACATGGAATTGCCTCTTCCTCAGCTCCAGCTTCTCCTGCAGACTGCTGCGGGCTGACAGGAGCTCCTCTAGACGCACCTCCAGCTCCGAGATCCTTTGCTCTGTCTGGGCCCGCGGTGGGTGCTGCTGGATCACCTGACCCGGGAGAAAAGTCATGTGACAAGATGACTCCCTGTACATTGACTACTGCACCTTTGCCATTGCGTCGTACTCTTGTCTGTGTTTACGAATTACACGAGACTTCTTCAGCTCTTCCTTGTACTGCACAATCAGCTGCTGAGACCTCTTGATTTCCTGCCCTATTTCACTGAACAGAAAAAACTTCTCCTCACACTTTCCACTCTTCACACCCTCACCTGTACACCTCCTCATATCTCTCCATCTCCCTCCTGTTCATGTCCATCACCAGCTGAGTCTTGGTGAAGGAGAATTCACACTGACCTGAAGCCAGAATAGGGGAGACCTGAATTATGGATTGATGATTTCAGGCATCTCACTGAGGGTAAACAGCATCTTCTGGTAGGTGGCGTCTCTCTCCTCAAGGGACAGTGCGGAGTCTACTGCCCAGCGGACGAATGTCTTCAGCAGAGACAGCACGCGTCTATCGTCGCTCCCTCCTTCCCCCTCCACGCACAACCTCTTCCGTATCACTTCGTCGTCCATCTCACCACACACACACGCGCTAAAACAAGGTCAAAGTTCTCTGAAAAAGTCACGTGGGTAAGTGAAAACCCTATGTTCCGAGTTCCCTTCTTCGCCTGTCGTCGTGGGCGCAGCACATTCATCGACTGTGGGCTGGCTCCAGAGCTGTGCACTCGTCTGATCGACAAGTTGGGTATTTCGACACCAACAGTTGTACAGAGTAAGGTTAGCTGAGGTTTGAATCATGTCGTTCTCATGCGGTGTTATAGTTTCTTGATCCCCTCAGAGTCTGAGAGCTGTGTTGGAGGGGAGACATGTAGTGGTCAATGCTGAGACTGGTTCAGGGAAGACCCTGTGTTAGTGACCATGTAATTGTCTCTCTGCGCCCCAAAATATTCCCTCTCCTCACAGGTTACCTACTACCGTCAATTCAGGCTCTCCTCCGCATATCTGGACGTCAGAGTTCACCTCATTCCCTGGTGTTGGTCCCCACTCCAGACCTAGCAGTACAGGTAAGTTTGGGGAAAAAGAAGTTTTGAGTGAGAAAAAGTAGAGTGAAACTGATGCATGTTGAAATGTGGGTTAGAATAGGTAATGGTTCTCTGTGGCAGTAGGTGGGTGAGGTGTTCCTGTCAGTGGCAGGTCCTGAGGTCCACTGCAGCGTGGTGTACGGGTCCAGTCGACTCTCCCTCCTTCCCCACACCCACCTCGTTGTCGCCACCCCTACCTCGTTAATGAACTACGACCTCCAGCGACTCCTGCGAGGGGTGCAGCTGATGGCGCTGGACGAGGCAGATGCTCTACTGACAGGAGGCCAGAAGACTGCCACCTCGCAACTCCTGAAGATGTTCAGAAACCTCACTGGGAGGGGAGAGCTGGCCAGGCAGGTGATAGTGGCTGCAGCTACACTACCTGGCGGAGGACCGCAGACTGCAGGGTCCCTGCTGGCACGCTGGCTACCTCGAGACACTGTCTACGTCACAACCAGCCTCACTCATCACACAGTTTCATCCTCACATCACACCTTCACCTATATCACTGAGACCACACCCACATCACGTGATTGGCCGGCGGAGTTGAAGTTGAGTCAACTGAAGAGAGATTTGGAAGATCTCCATGGCAACCAGTCAAGAATTCTTGTGTTTGTCAACACACAATCGACTGCAGAACTCGTCTACCAACATTTGATTGAAATGGGTGGGGTAACCACGCCCCCCTGGTGGGTGGGTCAAGTGAGACAGCTGCACGGAGGGATGAGTGTGGAGGAGAGGGGGGAGGTGGTGAGGGGAGTGAGGGAGGGAGAAGTGAGGGTTCTCGTAGCCACAGATCTGGTGTCTCGCGGAATTGATCTCCCAGATATTACAGCCGTCGTTCAGTTTGACTTCCCTGAAAACTCCGCCCACTACCTCCACAGAGCTGGACGGACTGCCCGTGCCGGCAAGGAGGGTCAAGGTCAGTGATGATACTTGGGTTGGGACTCCCTCCCAGTGGTCGATGTCTCTCTGTCTCAGTACTATCCTACATGGAGGAGAAGGACAGAGATCTGGGGCAGGAGATCAGGAGAGTGCTGGACGACAGATCACTGTCTTTCCAGGAGATCTTCAGTAGAAACAAGATGCTTCGCAGAAAGATCAAGGCTCGCAAGTCACGGCAGTCAAACACACTCCAACATTAATATCTAGTTGATTCACCGTATCACACACCACACCATTGAATTAAAGTGCAAACCCTCTTCTGTTGATGATGAAAATTGCAAAATAGTACACGACTTGCACATCTCAACAAAAACAAAAACAAAATTTTTAACAACAGGCACATGTCATCCAGCATGAGCTGTATTGTACAGGAGTTGTGCTGTGTTCAATGTTGGCTCCATTGAATAGACTTGATGTCAATTCCTTCCTTCACCATCTCATACAGTGGACTGTGGAGACACACAGAGTTTAGAGACCACACCCCCTGCCACGCCCACCTCACCTCATCTCCCTGAGATGGTTGACGCTGGCAACGCAGCGGTCCATTGTGAAATCCACCTCCTCCTCTGTGGTGAACCTCCCGATACCAAACCTGATGGAGGAGTGGGCGAGGTCTTCGTCTGCACCCACTGCCCTCAGGACATAGGACGGCTCCAGGGATGCTGACGTACAGGCACTGAGTACATAGTGAGGGAAGGGGGGAGCTTTACTGCTGGAGATTCTATGGCAAAGCTTTTGTGGTCTTTCATCACAAGATTCCTAAAGGTTTCAAAGGGAAAAGTGTTTTGACTTTTCTGCCAGGTTTTTAAGTGGGGAGGGTTCCAAGGGATCAGTGAAGAAAGTTTTCTCAAACCTGCCAGAAGAGAGGGCCACATCTTTCATTGCCATGAGAAGACTCTCTCCCTCAACATATGCAAACGAAAGGTTGACACAACCTACAGTGGGACAATGAGAGGGAACTGTACTGGGTGTATAGGGTACGGAGGAGGCAGACCTGGGTATGTCTGACGTTCGTCTCCGTTGCGGACAACGTGGTCTAGTCTTGAGGTGAGTCCTTTCACCAGTCTCTCCGACATGGCACTCACATGGGCGTGGTCATACTGCACACACACACACCACTGATTCACTGAGTGACGACACCATACACTGTACCTCCATTTCTCTGCCAGCCAACTCACAGGCAGCTCCCAGTCCAACTAGCAGAGGTGCCGGCAGAGTTCCACTTCTCATCCCCCTGCAGTGAGACCTTTGACCCCTGGCCACACCCCCTCACACTCGGACCTACCTCTCTTGTCCCCCTCCACTCATGATGGGTTCCAGTCTGACGCGAGGTCTTCTCCTAACATACAGAGCCCCAATTCCCTTTGGTCCATAAAACTTGTGGCCACTGATAGACATCAGGTCCACTGTCATCGCATTCACATCCACTGGAACCTTCCCCACAGCCTTGAAGAGAAGATGAAATATTCTGGTGAAACATTATGTGCTTTGAGAAATCTGTTCACCTGAGCAGCATCAGTGTGAAAGAAGATTTTTCTGGAGCGACACATCTGACCTGAAAGTCGAGACAAATACACATGTCACAAGAGAGAGTGAGTGCCAAACAGACCGATCTCCTCGACGGGCTGTCGAACTCCAATCTCATTATTGACAGTCATCACTGACACCAGAGATGTCTCTGGTCTCATAGCTGACTCCAATTCCTTTATTATATCACCAGACAGTTGGAGATTAGGGGATGACGAGAGGGGCTCACCTCAAGATTGATGATCCCGTTCTTGCCAACTGGGAGGTACGTGATGTCCATTCCTTCACTTTCCAGAGCTCTGCATGAGTCCAACACACACTTGTGTTCCTGAGAGAAACCCAGAGTATTTCAGGCCACCCATTTCTCTCTCTCTCTACACTCACAATCTGTGTAGTAATGACGTGAGATTTCTTGGCCTTGTAGAATCTAGCCACACCCTGTGGGCGGAGTCAGAGACTTTGAACAGCCACTTATCAGTTGTATAATGAACCTTGATTGCCATATTATTGGATTCAGTGGCTCCACTAGTAAAGACAATTTCCCTAGAGTCCGCCCCAATCAGATCTGCCACTTGCTGAGACACACACACACACATCTTGGAGTGAGGAAAAGAGGGAGTCGTACCTTCCTTGCTGCCTCCACTGCCTCCTCAGTCTCCCAGCCGTAGGCGTGTGTTCTGGAGTGAGGGTTGCCGTAGAGAGAGGTCAGGTATGGCAGCATGGCGTCCAGAACTCTCGGGTCCTGCACAACACACTCGCTACATGAGAGTAACCTACGGCATTAGTGCCCCAAACCAATCGAGTGGTGGCCTGAACGTCCATGTACAGAGGTCTAATTCCATAGTTAGAGGACTCCGGAACCTCTGGAGAGATGTAAAGAGTGTATTGTGAAAGACGTGCAGTTTGTTTGTCATCGTGTCGTACCACTACGCTCCAGAGGTAGTGCAGGCGGTGCTGTGCGACCGACTGAGTCGTGGAGACGGCGGCTGAGCCCGCCTGCAGCCCTCAGATCCCTCCACAGCAGCACTCCCAAACGAGACATACTCCACACACGCAGCAGTATGACGTAAATTATTTCCGCGCATGCGTAGCGCGCACGGTATATACAATCGATCGATCACACACGTGAAATATATACAACGCAAAAGAAACAGGAAAAATGATTAGTAAACAGCAAGGAAAATTCGACAGACAACAAAGAAAAAAGAAAAATTAACAATTAACAATTGAACTAGACCGTCGATTGAAGGGGGAAGGGATGGATGGCGGTGCATCCAGAGGCCCGCATTGCCTCACCATAGGGCTATTGCTAGACGGCCGAAAAGATGCTTTGTCATGTCAATCGGATCGGTAGAGTTCAGCCGCTGACCCAATGCTCGACCTATTGAACGGATGGTAGCAATGGCATCAGGGCACCAACCTCCTAGTGTCTCCACAACAATAGGGAGGAAGTCCACACCAGCCGCTCGACAGGATGGAAGGTTGGATGTCAGCTTCCTTCGAACGCCAACACTAAGGGCATGACCAGGAGAAGAAGCAGCCTCAGCCAGAGTTAGCTGCTGCAGTGGCGATATAACACTGACGTCTAGTGCAGCTGGACGCCCACGGCACCAGTTTGGGAGAAGGATGTCGGCTGGACGAGTGTCTTTTGTGGGAGCCAGAGCAGCAGACTGGGCAGCATTGAGCAGTACATCCCGAATCGCGTTATGGCGGGCTATACGATCTCCATTGCCCCCACAGCCCACCTAGAGATCCCCAAAGGGGTCAGCTGATCTTCGACATTTTCTGGGCAGATGTAGGAGAACCATGTGCGCATGCGCAATAGGTATTGTGTGCGCATGCTCGGTGATCCACACGTGCGCATGCGCCGTGAGCACCGCGAGCGCATGCGCAGTGAGCAACGTCATTGAGACTAGACTGCAGGTCATGGCAAGGAGAGGTCAGACCTCGTACAATGGCATCGCAGGCTGAGCTGTGAAACGTACAATGGCTTCGCAGACTGTGCTGTGAACTGATGAGGATGGAGGGCCCGAGGGCGTTTTGGAAGGGGCGCTGTAGGTGAGTGACATCTTCAAGACAGTTGGTGATCTAGTTTTACTGTCTGCAGCTCGAGTGTTGCCTCAGTTTGGAGTCACCTTGTTGACATATGAACTTCTCATGTGCCTACAAATTGTTGACACCCTCAGCTAGGGGAGCAACGAAATTTGGACGAGATAGGAATGGTTGCAGCGAGAAAAAGGAAAAGTTCATATGTGAACAAGGTGACTCCAAACTGAGGCAACACTCGAGCTGCAGACAGTCAAACTAGATCACCAACTGTCTTGAAGATGTCACTCACCTACAGCGCCCTTCCAAAACGCCCTGGGGCCCTCCATCCTCATCAGTTTACAGCACAGTCTGTGAAGCCATTGTACGTTTCACATCTCAGCCTGTGATGCCATTGTACGAGGTCTGACCTCTCCTTGCCATGAACTGCAGTCTATATAGTCTCAATGACGTTGCTCACGTGCGCATGCGCTCGCGGTGCTCACTGCGCAGGCGCACGTGAATCACCGGGCATGCGCATACAATTCCTATTGCGCGTGCGCACATGGTTCTTAATGAGCATGCGCACATGTGCTCTATTGCGCATGCCCAAGTGTAGCTGTTCATACTGCGCATGCGCGCGGTTACCTTCGTAAGATTACGAGGAAGATTACTAGCTCTAAAGGATTACTAGCCTACTGTAAGACTACAGAGTAAACACAGGAAGATTACAACCTGACGTACAAGCAAACACTACCCACGTGCGCATGCGAATGCATATTAGTGGCTCGGTTCAGAGGTCGTTTTGTGTAGCTGTTCATACTGCGCATGCGCGCGGTTACCTTCGTAAGATTACGAGGAAGATTACTAGCTCTAAAGGATTACTAGCCTCGTTGCTCCCCTAGCTGAGGGTGTCAACAATTTTGCATTTGTTGTAGGCACATGAACGTAATAAGAGACAAACCAACTATCATTACTACTTTCACTACTGATGGAGTATGGAATAGTAACAGAGTTTTTCTCGCTGCAACCATTCCTATCTCGTCCAAATTCATTGCTCCCCTAGCTGAGGGTGTCAACAATTTTGCATTTGTTGTAGGCACATAAACGTAATAAGAGACGAACCAACTATCATTA